CCCCCCTCTCTTTGTGTGATCCCTCTAAGCCTCTCACATAACCTCTCTTCCCCTTTCTTAACAGTTAGTTTATTCAAAACTGACAAGGTTGTGCAAATACCTCCTCCACAAAAACATGCAAATAAAGCTCCTAGTTTGTTTGCTCTACATGTGTGAATTTACTTACAATTGGATAGACATGACAGTATAATTTATTAATACATTATATGGTTATCAGACTTGTCATTAGCTGACGAAAGTAATCCATTCCGTGGGTGGTCTCTGTTTAGGGACAACAAGAAGAGCAGACATATTTGTAAGTTTATTTCTCACTGTGTCTATTGCACACAGCCGACTGAAGAGTATCCATCTATAGTGTACAATGGTGCTCCTGAAAAGAATGGTCTAGTCTTCAATGACGTGGATAAATATGCAATTCAAAATTTAGCAGATGCTGCTCGCTATTATGACTATTTTACAAAGCAGGATAGTGAAGAATACAAGAATAGGGAGAAACAATGGGAGGAACAGGAAAAAAAATAGTACCTTACTTCCATATAAAAGCAGCCCTTGTATCTCTCCATGTATTAGACTGCTCTGAAATAAAGATGGGAGTTATACATAAAATTGTATCCCTATTGCTAGATTAATAGAATGAAAAGATTATCCAAGTTGATACATTCTACTAGCGAGTAATATTGGTGTTGACGTTCCTACAGTTCGGCCTAGTGCTAGATTGGAATTTGCAGGCGAGGAATTCAACGACCAGTCCAAGAAAGCAACTCGTCATCACTACCTCATACATTCTATTTGACAAGAGGATAAGCGAATACGTATGGAATAAAACGATGAGACACGACGTAGATTAACGATGCTGTTATTGCATAGAACAACAGACATATTATAGTTACGTATGATGCATCGGGGTACTGTCAATTTAAGTACGATGAACGGGATCGTATTGCCCGTGATCCGGGCAGTACTAGTAGTCCTGGCAAATATAAGCACACATCATCGGTCTAAATCCTCGGACACTTCTGTATTAACATACATTATGGGCTACTTTCTAATACAGACGTGTAAATAGTGCTTGTACGTCGTATAAGTGATGGGGCGACAGTGATATGAGAAAGGGTAATGCAACAAATAGACAAAATGGAACACGAATAACACTAATGTTAAAGGGAAAAAAACACAGACAACAAAACGGCGTATTGTAAAGCAGCAAGTGGATAATAAAATTTAATCATAATAACTTCGATTCAATCTAGAGTCGTCCTGACGCGCCCTGCACGATCAAGGTAGGTGTAAATAGCATGCAGAGCGTTCTGCACGCCGCTCTCCTGAGATAGGGTTTACAAACACAAGATGAGTTGTATGTATGGAAATGGGAAGAGAAAATGAAGAAATGATACCCACCTGTCTAATGTTCTCACCTACAGCCGCTGCTCGTTCCTTCATCACTCTGGTAGGTTATCATTTAGATTAACTTCGAAAATAGGAAACAGACAACATGACGAGATCTACGTACCGATCAGTCGTCGCTCTCACAAGTGCATTAGCAAGCTCCGACGAATGTAAGCTCGACACTCTCAGACCTGCCCCTATCTTCTGCACACGTGAAGCCCAGAAGAATTGATCACTATAATCACGTCAATAACTCGGACTACAAATCTTCAAATGACTATCATAATTTTGCTTACCCGAACCATGGCTTGACAAGCGTTGGGATACCTGCACGTAGACTAGCGCCAGTCGTACCCGCGCCACCGTGATGAAGAGCTGCATCGATTTGCGGAAAGAGCCAGCTATACAACAAGTTCATTGGCGCAGTCAGCATCGTTATCTCAGAAGCGCTCCTGAACGAAGTGACACGTACTCATGTGGAATCTTGTCAATCTAGCGAAGGCACATACGTGGATGTTAAATCAGCATAAACATACATTGACACAGGATTTGTAAAATCAAACGCCAAGACAAGCGTCACTTACGGAATAGCATTCCGGCGGAAACTCAAACTCAGGCTCATCGGACTTGCTCATTCGCGCTGACCACCCTTTCGAGATGATCGCCCGAACGCCACCTGAAACGTGATTGATTTATTTTAAAAATGACAAATAATAAGTATCAAGATCAGGATCAAGAAGATGAATGTGATATTCATAATTCATTACGCACTCTTCTTTACTGCTTTGACGATACTACGCGTCATCGCTGGTGGGTTTGGTACGGTTATGCTTCCGAAACCGATGTACACGATTGGCTTCTCGTCTTCTCGTGCTTTCTCCATCCATTGAAGAAGGTTGCTCGGTGGTGACCAGTTTAAGTCAGGGTTGTCGAGGAACCAGCTATATTTCAAGGTAACTTGTCAACTTCCTGGGATAAGGCTGTCTTGTGCTAATACGCACTATCCAGACACGGTGATAGCATCTCCCCAGTCCAACGGCTTCGGAACAACCGAAGGCGAGAAATTATATATGAAGGGAATCTTGGACTGTGCGAGATGGCCCATGTCCGTATTTCCGATATGTAAAGTATTTCGTCTCCATCGATTAATCTGTCCAGCAGTCGCACTCCAGAATACATTATCGAATAGAATATATCTATATCGGGATTGAAGATCGCGTAAGCTTGCTTAGAGAAGTGAACATAGAAAAGTCGTACGTAGAAGCATTAAAATGAGCCAATTCTACGGGCGGACTAAGGAAGGGATGCGGGAATTCTGTCGTCCTAAATACAATCAAGAAACTCTCAGTTTCATAACATTGATGAGATGTGAAAATGACAAACTTTGTCCAAGGCATAGTAAAAGTTCGGAAGTAAGGAATATCTGGCATATATCAGTTCCTCCAGCCAGTTCAAACATCAAGAACGGACTCACTGAGAGCTTCTGCAATGTGTACACCAGCCATAGCAGATGGGCTCTCCAGAAGGACGTCTGCATCTTTACATTGTTCCCAAGCATCTGCTAAAACTGAAGAGCATTGTAAGGAACGCAGTTGAAGAAGTCAAAGCCAACAGGTGCATAAGATACTTACGATCATCTAACCATGTCCGGAACTGGTCAAATGAAAGTCAGTCGGTTTCAATCTTCAAGGCACAGAGATGTGCGTACATTGCCAAGGCTCTCCTTAAAAAACTGAGGCGAAAACATCTATACGTCCTCACTCAGCCATGATCCACTCAGCACAATAAAAAGCAGCCTACCTTATGCTCCACACTCAACTTCATCAACGCACCCGGGTCTCCACCCGCCGTCCGATGCCTAATCCCCCACCCCTCAACCCACTCCTTATACTCCGCATGCGTAACAATCGACACACTATGACCCTCCTGAAGGAGAGTCCGCCCAAGAGCGATATATGGCTGCACATCTCCCCTCGAACCAATTGTAAGACACACAAAGTGCATCGAGCTTGCTCGCGGGAGTGTACCCGCGGGTAGGTTAATCACTTTGGGTAGTAATGGGATATCCGTCATTGCGAAGCGTTTGGAAGTTGCGCGGTCGATTGTACGTGAAAGTGGAGAGAGGACGTGTGAGACGGTTGGGACTGGGACGGGCATGGAGGCTGTTGTTGCGCTCGTCCCTGTGCCGGAGCTTGTACTAGTGGAATTATTACGGACTGGTGATCCGATGGATGCAGGCGACTCAGTGAGCAAGCCTGTCTTCGGTGATCCCGTCGGCTTGGGTGATGAGGTCAGGAAGGCTGCTCTGGTGGGACTTGTGGGCTGGGTAAGAGCGGCCGTTCGTTCCTTCTGAACGCGATGAGCCTCGACAGCATCTGTGATTCGCCGTATTGCCTCGTCACGTCGTTCCTCCGAGTAGAAATCAAAATACATGGAAGGATGTTCGCGCAAGTCGAGTATCAGTCCAAAGACCCGCGGAACATATCGGTAATTCGGACGGGCACCAGCAATTTTGCTGATCGGGAAGCGGTATTTCGCATCTTTAATGGATAGGCACTTCGTCCAATACCCAACGTAGTGCTTGGAAATCGCAAGATACCCTGTGGATGCAATGCTACGAGCGATACTTGCACGAGTATCTGCGAAAGTAAGAATGTCAGCTCCTAAGTCATATATCTCTAAAATATTTAACGCAGTACTTACACCAAATCTCGGTCTCTACACCAAGGCCAAGAGCATTCCGTATTGCCTCTTCCTTGCTATCCTCTACCTTTCTCACATCCTGATTTCGCTCGAGGAAACTCAACGCACCAAAATCGACGATAACTTTGGGTGGAATTCGTACACCAGCACGGCGCTCCCGTCCCCTCGCCGCCTCAACCCGTTTACCAAAGTCATCCCAACTATGCGTCTGTCGCGCAACCCCAATCTCAATAGTTCGCCCTTCCATATCTATATCCTCGTCATCAGAAGGCGAACTGTTCTCTGAATCGTCTTCGTCACCGCTCTCGGAAATACTTGTCTGTCCTCTACCCGAAGACAGCTCCATGTTAACCATGTTCGCGTATTTCAGAGCCATACGCGTTGAGAAACTCTTGACACGACTTAGGGGTATGCTGACTGCATTCATTCAGATACAGTTTGTATACCAAAAAAACAATTTAAGAAACTTACTTTGTACGCCACGCGTCTCATCCTCACTTCTACGGGACAGAAAATCTACGCGTCCATGCCGATTCATATAAATTGCACCTAAACGGACTACATTAGACGAGAAATTTGCACGTTGTAGGGGACTTGATGGTACCTTGCAGTTCACGTCTCCATTCACGCGCAGATTCCTCCGTATCGAACTCGGCATGCGAATTGGTAGAGCACATCTTGTCGACACCAAACTCAAACCTGAGAGTCTTCTTGTTTCCCTCGTCTTCAGGATAGACCATCTTGATTGAGGATACTAGAAGTATGTTTAGCATACAGTCGCCATATGTCCACTTATGATGTGAACTTACACAAGCAAGACCACAGAGGTCTCATACGATCCTCCTCCTTACTCGACGGGAAACAAGTAAGCATATCATGGGACAACTCGAGCCACACACGCCGCTTCCTACGCAAACCGCGTCGATGAATCGTAACAGGTCCTCTTCGGATAATTTGCTTCTCCGGAAGGAGGTCCGGTCGTGTAGAGAGTAAAGAAGCGTGAAACGCGAGGCGGTGAGATGTGAGGTGGACTATACCAAGGATTGCGATCTCCTGCAGGTACGCGCCGTCCATTTCCCAGATGAGTTGTTCCGTGTCGTGTTCGTCTACTGTGAGCGAACCGAATTCGTCGATGAGTAGTTTGACTATTTGGTCGGAGGAGAGATGTGAGGCGTCTGTTATGCCCGATTCGTTGTCGTCGACGGCTGTCTTTGACTCGCTTGATTCATGCTCGTCGATGTCCATCCCGTCCGGCCTGGTCATCTCGGCCCCGGGTGATACTTCCTCGCTAACAGCAGTAGTAGTCGCCTCACTTAACTCAGTATGCTCGTCCACGTCCATCTCGTCCGGTTCAGTCATCTCAACCCCACCCAACACGTCCCCTTCCTTCATCACCGAATACTTCGCAAATCGTTCCGTAGCAACAAGTTCCGGTGTGCTCAAATCCCGTCCAAGAAGATCCGCAAACCGTCTCATAGATTCCCTATCCCTGCCTTCTCGTTCTCCATCCCTAGCTTCTTCGCGTCGCTCCATGCGTGTGTCCTCCAAGCCACTATCATTATTAGCATCTCGGTCTCCGTTTTCCGTCTGTTTCTTACAGCCCTGTTCTTCTTCGGTAATGACCTCGCTGTATTGTACGGCATCGATGAATATACGCGAGAGCCCGCTATTATCAAGCAATGAAGGCCTCAGGCTCAAGTCCGGATCGGGTCCACCGATGTCCGAGTCCCTAAGCCCCGAGTCAGTGGAAAGTGTCGAGTCCTCCCTCAGCGTCGCAGTCTTGGTCGACGCCATTGAGCGCGAGCGAGGTGGCGAAGCAAGCCAAGCAAACAAGCACTTAGAAAACAAGAAAGGACGAGAGTTACCAAGTTACTTGATGAAACCTCAGAAAGGGAGTGCTGAGTATCTTATAGATGCATAAGCAAGCCACACACACAACAGCAACAAACTATCTTTGACTCGTTCTACGCGTCATCTTTGCCTGCAGGGTTCCTTCCGCCCGGAGTGGCAGGGACGCGCTAAGTCGGCCTGTAAAACGTCAGCACGCCGATCGGAGAGTTGCTCCGCGCATGCCTGACGCAATAAAGCTTATCACATGCGTCTGAAACGCATCTTGCACGAACGAAGCCTAGCGCTCAGCCAATTGTCTCTCGAGTTCAGGTTATCTGAGATGAATGACAGCTTATAAGGGAAGGTGGTCTTGCTACAGGGCATACACGGGAAAGCACGGTAGATTGAGTAGACTTCCCGTCGACTTCTTGACAGAAGCCCAATGACGACTCGTGTAATAAAGTTTGATCCTATTCACTTTGTCTGCACGTGATCTCATGCAACTCTGCTGCATTTGGCTTAACTTCGGATTGGACAGCACTCTGAACGTAGAGCAGCACAATCCTTGGGGAGAGGCATGACAAAGAGTGCACAGTCCATGGAGACACATGATCTGTATACGTGTACTAGTACTACCTTCAAGCAAGAAGGCTGTGTGTGATCGTGCTCTGTACACTAGCCAGGCCATTTTTGGGGATTGAGATAAATACGTGGAATTGCCTGATATGCTAATTCTCCCACATTTAGCAGAACTATCGACTTGGGCTACAGACTCAGTGGAAAGCAGAGCAGATTGTTTTGTGGCAACATTGTAAAAACAGAGCAGTCATACAATCATGTACTAGTGGCACATGATCCGTCTACTTATACTATGCAGTATCAACTCCAAGCACAGAAGGGCTTCGCGTAATTGCGGGTTTGCACAATGAGCCGGAACTCAACCGACAACATTGATCTATTGTTGCACCGCAGAACCAATAACAAATGACTAGATAGCACATCAAAACAAACTGATATACAAACCAGAACACAAAACACGCCGACAAATAAATAACGAGATCATCAACCAAACAGATGAATGGAAGGAAGAGGGGAGAGGAAACACATGCATCCTTCATTTCCTCTTCTTCTTCCTAACCGTAAGCACCCTCACCTCACCCTTACTCGCCCCATCAGCAATATTAACACCGTTCTTCTCGGAACGGACCGCAGGAGGAGGCGGAGCATCAGGATTCGACACCGCAATCTCTCCATAAATAAACGACGAGTAATTATCCGCCGAAGGCTCGGGCTCCGGAAATGGATTCGGTGAAATATCGTCCCCTGCTCCTAGTCCGAGTCCATTAAGCGCCACAGTGCGACGTGGGGGTGTGCGAGGTGGGACGAGGAAATGTGGTGGAGGTGTTTCAGACCTATCTTCCTTTTCTGCCTCCTCTTCCTTTGCTACATTTGCAGCGACGTTCTCGTCTTCGTCGCCGACGAGGAACGGTGGTTTCTCCTTTGACGTCTCCAGTACGTGTAGTCCACTACATAAGCTGCGAATTGAAGCCTCCAGGATGGACGTCGCCTTCAAAGAACGTTCCGTCGTCGAGAACTCATGCCCCGTCATGAGCGAATGTACAACCCGCTGGACAAGATGACGTGATACTTCTCCTGGTTGAGGTGCAAGTGGATTCGCAGCTAATCCTTCCTTCGATGTCGAAGCAGTAGATTTGGATCCAGCTCCAGGTGGGAAAACAATAACGAAGAACCCCGTGATTGCACCGGCTACACATTCCTGGCGGAACGACATGCGTTCCCAGAACTCGTCAGCACTCACTACACCCAGCTCTCCGAGAATTCGCGGCTGCTTTTCCTTTTCCTTGTGATTTCTGCTATTGTCCGAGTCTTTATCTTTAGCTTCCGTGTCGCTCGTACGCCGTCGTTTTCGGTGCGGAGAACGTAGACCATCTACTTGTGTAGTGCATGCAATCTCGTCCATAAATCGTGATTTCGGGTCATCATCGAAGGATGGAATCAGCTGTCCGAGGTTGAATTCGTCCTTTGCTTTCCCCGTAGGAGCATATGGTAAAGGCACCTCCGTCTGCGAATACGGATGTCCGTATATCCAATTTGAGCTGTTACTGTTCTTCACTAACGTCTCTCCGAGTGCTTGAATAGCTTCAAGCTCGTTCATCCCAGGTAACAAATAATACATCTTAATCTCTCCACCACCAACCTCTTGCACCACACGTCCCAAAATTCGCTTCCACCACGCACACAATTTCACATCGTTCAACGGCTTCTTGGAAGGATGATCAGCCGAATTTGGGAATAAATATTGCCGTTCGGCACGTGCGAAGAGATGGATCCATAGTGTTGTCCCGCGTAACTTCGGAGGACGCGTGGCTGGATTCGCGTAAAACACTACGAATGCCCGGACAAGTGCAGACGTCGGTGCAGGTCGAGTTCCCTGTCCAGTCGAATCTACCTTCGCAACATAGAGAATCGCACTATTTGTTGTAGGGATATGGAAAAGCGCAGCCTCGATGGCGGTGACGAAGACTCGTTGGGGTTCGTCCTTAGACTCGGGCTCATTAGGAGTCGGACAGGACACTTGCTCGGAACAGAGGATGAGCATGTGTTGCGCGTAGATGCGCGGATGGGAAGACGCGTATGGAAATAATTCTGCATGCTTGTGTGGTGCGGAGACAAGAACGTTGAGGTGGAAGTGGCGGGTTCCTGGGAGGGCCTTGAGTGAATCGAGGAGCTGATCACGTAACTTCATGGTACCTCTTCCCAAGGAGTCCAGCTCGTGAGCGCGTAAGAGAGTTTGTGTACAATTCGTGGCAGGTTTGAGAGCAAGATGGCTGGTAACAATACAATGTGTAGATCAGAGTTCGTCAACTGTGCAGTGTGAGGTTACAAGCGTAAGAAAGTCGTGTAAGTCGAGTAAATGGGTATTGAATTGAGGAGAAGATACTAGCATATGCAGTAGTGGAAAGCCATGTCAAATATATGGACTTCAAGAGCAGGCTTTATGTGCAGGCTGAGGAGGCTCATCGAGTAGTGAGTTTGAAGGATGGCATTCAACGCGTGCACGTGACAGTTGGCCACTAAAAATATGGACCTATAATGTCACAATTATGTCACATATTAAATAGTCACGTATAATTGTACACTGAGTCTAAGTACATTCCAATCCTTCGAGCCAGCTCACTACTCAAACGCGTTGATGTAACGGTATTGTCCACTGGCTGTCTGAAGGCAACGCGCATAGAGCCACTGTTGTTAACATCGAATACCTCGAACTCCAAGAACCCTCAGTCTTCAGCTTGAACACGCCTCTTCTCTACACTTAAACCTCCCTCTTCCGATCCTATCTCAACGATTCAACGCGATGGAAGCACCTGCAATCCCAGCAACGCCCTCACCAGAGGACAGAGCGCGTTACGAAGCAGCGCGCAAGGAACTCGAGGCAGCGTTAAAGAAGAAACGAGCAGTTGATAGACAACTCGTACGTCTCACCCACTTGTACTCCCTACACACACATCCATTCCTTCACACCCTCAAAACATTCCAACCATCCTAAATCATCCAATTTATATCCCATTTCTACATGCTCGTATATTACATTACGCATACTGAAACTAATGCAAACTAGGCCCAACTAGAAGTCCAGATCTACAACTTCGAAGGCTCCTACCTCGCCGAAACAGCCCAACACAGCGGGGGTAACATCATCCAAGGATTCGACGGGTACCTCAAAACCCAAAGTGTCGGACGGAGGAGACACGAACCGACCGATGCGGATAGGGTGTTCTCTAATAGCTCGTTGACGTATCAGAAGGTGCGTTCCTCTTTCCCCCCTCGTTCTTCTTCGCAGTTTATTTGTTGAGGAATGTAGTTATGTTTATAACGAATAGTGATAACTGACGACGAACGTATTGTAGAGCCTCGAACTAATGGGCGAAGCAGACTCCGACTCCCCCCAACCCAACCAAGTCCCAAACCCAAACGCCTCCCTCCCCCTCCAACTCTCCTCAATCCCAAACACCCTCCCAAGCTCCCTCTCCCTCTCCAACTCCCTCTCCCTCTCCAACCGATCAACTCCAGGACTCGGTGGCGTCGGTGGAGCCGGAATCGGAGGTGGGGGGTTGACGTCGATTGTACTTCCACCACCAACCTCCCACCCATCTTCCACCTCCACTCGCGACGGAGGTAGCGGAGGAGGAACAGGAGCAGGAGGAACAGGAGGAGGAAGTCGAACACAAACAGACAAAGAAACCCAACAACTAAGCGCAGCCGCCCAAAAAAAGGCCCGTGATAAAGAATACCAACGCCGAAAACGTGACGCAGCGAGACAGAGAAGTGCAGCGTTAGCTGCACAGGCTGCTGCTGCTCAAGCTCAAGCTCAAGCTACTGCACAGGCTCAGGCGAATGGTCAATCTGGTGGTACGGCTGGGAGTGGAGGGAGTGGAATGGGTGGAAAGGGTGGAAGTGGAGAAGTGGGGAGTGGTGGGGAGACGGGAGGAGGATCAGATGGGACGAGTGTGAGAGCACGGCCGAGTAAGAAGCCTAGACAGGCGGACGATGATTAGGCAGGCATTGAGTTGAGTATAGATTGGCGGGTTGTATGTATGAATATGTATATATTGAACATGGAATACCGAATGACTCCTTGTTTTACAGGTGGTAGATTCATTTTTGTGTATAGATAGTATACTTTCGTGTTGTATGAGTATTCTTTCGGTATGATTACATGAGCGCTGAACTGAATCGTTGCTGAATCCGAAACGTGGATTGATGGACAAGAACTTTTGATTGCAAGACATTGTCAAAAGGTATGAGTACATACAATACTACATAGTGCATACACTTTTAACAGAAACAGAGAAAACAGTCTAAACATTAAAACCATAACAAAATCGTCATCTTTTTTGTTCACCACTCCCACTTTACAACTTCACCTTAGCCGTAAACTGATCCTCCGTAACCCCCTTCCCCATAGCAGCCGTCGAACTCACACCCCCCGTAATAGTCTTCAACAACCCATCCACATAATCCGCCCCACTCCACTTCTGATGCGTCAAAACATCACACCCAATCTCCCTCTCCCTCCTCTGCACAATCTCCACATAAGCCTTCATACCCTCATCCTTAAACGCCCTCGCAAACAAGTCAGATATATACGCTGTAGAATGAAGCCCAGCGAGAGTGATAAATTGCCAGACGAAACCTAGTTTCCCGAGTTCCCAGACGTAGGACTTCATTTCGCTTGGACCGAGACCTGCGGCTTCCCAGTTGAAGGAAGGGGAGAGGTTGTAGGCTAGCCATTGGTGTGGATGGACGGCGTGTACGCCTTCTGCGAATTCACGCGCTTGAGCGAGGATAGGTTTTTTGGTCTCCATCCATAAGGCGTCTGCGTAGGGTGCAAACGCACATGCACGCACGACGGCACATTGCGTCCCACCTTGGTACCTATAAAACCCTTCCCTCGTTCTCGGGGCGTCCCAATCCCAATACGGTTGGGACTTCAAACCGAAGTGGGTTTGGGCGAGTGAGAGCGCGGCGGTGTGTGAGAGTGTACGGACTTTGCTGAGGAACTCAGCGTGTGCGGGGGAGTTTAAGAAGGATTGGTTTTCGGAGGCGAGTGCGGCGACGAGAGCCTCGCCATACGTTTTAATATTCGCTTGCGCGACCCACTCGTCTTCAACAGCTTGCAACGCATCCCCAACCTTCCCCGCCGCCTCCGCCTCATTCATCACAACCACAAGCGGTCTCAGCCTCGGGTTCGTCGAGCCCAAAATAAACGGATGGTCCCTCTCATCCACATTCGTCGTAATCAACGTCGCAGCCTCCGAATCCGTCCTACACACAACAAGATTCTCCACTCCCATAATATCAAACTGCAAACGAATCGCTACAAGTCGATTAATATGCTCTTGAATAGGAACGAGAACTTTCCCCGCCATGTGTCCGCATTTCTTCGTTCCGGGAGCTTGGTCCTCAATGTGAATCCCCGCGGCGCCCTTTTCGACGAAGAGCTTCGCGAGTTTCATCACTGCTGTGAGACCTCCGTGACCTGTATCTGCGTCGGCGATAATGGGGCGGAGATAGTCTATCGCGGGAGTTGAGGCACGTTCGGCGTCGGACATGCGGAGACGGGCTTCCCGTTGTTTGCGGTCATGGAAAAGTTGGGCCATGAAGAGGTGTTCGACTTTGTTGGGGACGGTGTTAGAGGGGTAGTCTGTATGAGATTGTGTGAGCGGAGTGGAGTTAGCAACGTTTGGGAATAGAAGTGGAAAGGAGTATGATCACCTGCGAGGTCCGGACCTGGCTCGTTCGTACTCGAAGCCGTACTCGAAGTCTGCCACCCAGAGACATACACCGTCTCCAAGTATTTTGCCATCTGAGTCACTTGCACCGGGTCAAGTCTATCAAATCAAAACCAAAATCAAAACCATCTCATTATCAGCATACCCACTCAACCCTCAGTAGCTCACAAAAAAGTGTAGACTACTCACGCTCCATAAGTATGCGACGGCGTCTTATTCTTCCAATGCTCCGACAACAACCTCCACAGCTTCTTGGCTTGAATATCAGACGGGTAGGAAATGGGAATCGTCCCGCGCTTGGAGACGACTTGAGCAGCGGTGTATGGTCGTTTAACACGTGAAAAGCGCTCGCCCTGATGGTAATAATTCACAAATCAATCAATATTTAGAAAAAGTATGTGTATATGTGAGAAATGGGAACTAACCTGCCAACGCTGCTCAAGCTCCCTAACTTCCTGCTCAAACGCAACTCGTTCTGCGCTCATATCTGAAACTATCCGTAAAGATAAAGGTAAAGGTAACGGAGGAGGGAGAGGAGCAAGGGGGAACAATGTGAAGACGGATGGAAATGGCGCATGACTTTCATTCTTATATCTCAAGGCAGACGGGACTGGAACCTGGAATGCACGGATACGGAGCAGTCGAAGCAGCCTAAAGCGCGGAGGATCGGCGACACGGAACCATGTGAATTCCTCGGTCTACCCGTTCCTTCCCGTCTACTCACCACTTCCTCCTCCGACAGTCCTTTCGTCTCGATCTATCGTCGCTCTAAGCACGCACGTCCACTCCGAGGATACATTCACAACGCGGACTTACCACCACCCCCTTGTATCTATGTGAGCTCCCTCGGTGCGCAGGCATGGTCGTTGAGACACTTTCACGCTGTGTTACTATTTCCGCCCCGCCTAGCTCGTGATTTCAGCCCTAGGAGCTAACATCTACAGCACTCTAGGCCCCATCATCGCCGAAATGCTCCGAAACATCTCATTCGCAGCTCTCGGGAGACCGAGCACCTACAATTAGTACAAAAGAACATCAACGAATAGCGAACGGCGGCGAAAGGCGAAACTCTTTAGACTCTCGTCTTTCGTCCTTTTATAATTATAACTCTAAGCAAGACTGTATTGATGGTCCGAGTCTGCCCGAGTTATAGGCAGAATAAAATACCTTCTAGTCTTCGAGACGGAAGAAAACAAAACTAACTTTCGGATTGACTATACATATCCGTGTCTATATATAGAAGATGCTGTTTAGTGTTCCACAGTTTTACAACACAAAATTGTACACGAGTGAATATTATTCCAAGTTTGTTGATTGAGCCCTCATCTACCCAATGTCTCAAAGGTCTCAGAAACACATCGATATCACTCAAAATAATCATGTCCAACTGACAAATCCACCAGAAACCACTGTTTATTTGTTCCACAGACACAGAAAAGAGAAAGACAGACAGACCACAAAACAATTCTATATTGAGAGACTTGAGAAAGAAACTTGAGAAGAAAGTTGAGCTAAAAAAAAGTTGGGGGGGAAAAAACATGTAAAATGATGAAAACACAAATGAGTCGGATGGACGGATGGATGGATGTATCACAGGTGAAGGAGAGAAGGAGAGGAAGTGAAGAGAGCATGCAAAACTAAACTACTAAAATTCACAAATTCAAACGTTCAATCAAACCAGTCAACAGTCAAATAACAGAATCGAATCGAATCGAATCGAATCGAATCGAATCAATCCGTTATGCAGAGAAAGTTAAGAGGGAGGAGAGAATCAAACAGAACGAAGAAAACAAATAAAACGTACCACCAAAAAAGCCCAACAGAAGGCAGAAATCGAAAGTGAAACAGTAAAAGAATACCACACCACAAAAGAAAACAGGGAGGGAAAAGAACTGAAGATTTTGTTTTACACCAAGATTCGGAACATGATGGATAATGGACATGATGAAGACGGAGATAACGGACAACGGGATAAACGGAGACAATGGATGAGCGGGATGGGATAATGGTTGACCAGCCAATCGGGCGAGCTTGGGAGGGAAGGAGGTAAATGAAATGGCAGGGTGAGTGAGCGAGTGAGTGAAAAACAAACATGGGAGAGCACCGTTTATGTACACAGATGAGTGGAAGAGAAAAAAAGCATCGTGAGGGGATGATGAGTGAGATGTACATGTTTATAAATAATACATTTGAGAATGAAAAAATGAAAAAAGAGAAAACGGAACAGAAAGGGAAAAGGGGAGAGAGAGAGAAAAACACCCGTTCATTTTGTTTAATTCTCACCAAGGAAAGAACTGGCACGAGTAACTCTAGCTCTCGTCCATAGGTGAGTCCGGACGTTTCGTGGTGTCCTTGGCCTCTCCACCACCACCAGTCTTCCCCTCTCCGTTCCCAGTTTTAGTCGTCATTGACTTCACTCCTGCTCCGCTAGTAGAGTTCGTCCGCCTCGTTTCAGGTCTCCTTTCCTTCCTCTCTTTCTCCCTCTCCCTTTCCCTCTCTTGCTCGCGTTCCCGTTCCTTTTCGTTAATCGCAGAAAGAGGCAGCCTCTCACTTCTAACAGGCAAAGGCTTCAACTGCGGCTCAAACCTCATCGCAGAAACCGACAACCTCCTTCCAATCCCACTCATCCCCTCAAGAGAAGGAGCAGGCGAGCTTGCAGCCGATCTTGATACGCTCCTTCCACCATACGCGCTCGTGTCTTCTCTCGGAGGGGGTGAGACGCTCCGTCGGTGTACATCGTCTACCATCGTCGTAGCTGATGAAGATGGTGGTGGTGGACCACCAGCGCGCTGTTGTTGTTGCATGGAGCCAGTACCGGAGCTTGATGGCACGGGCGCGGTAGTAGGAGGCCGAGGGACGGGTGGAAAGGTGTACGATTCTACACCTGGGGCAGTTGGGTACCCTCCAGTTGTCGTCGTGGTTGTGCCTCCGCTGCTTACGGGTGGAGTAGGTTGGAAGGGCGGACGAGGGGAAAGTCCGTTAGGTGGTCGGCCACCTTGATTTTGGTTTTGCGTATTCCTCCCCCCTGCTGCCGAGGCAGACGGCTCGAACGACCTCAGCTCACGTATCGTTTCTCGAAGTTCTGTAACTTGAGATTGCAGACGAGATACCTCATCGCGCCACATCCTCGCCTCCTGTTGAACGGCCTCCCTAACAAGACTCTCCACCTCATTCCTCGAAATCCCACCCTCACCGGCAGCCGCTTTCAATCTCGCAACCTGTGCTTCACCTTCCTTCGCAACAGCACCTACGCGACGCAACTGCTCACTAAACCAGCCCTTCAATACCTGCGCATCACTCAACGCGTCAAAGAACTGCTCAAATGGCGCAAGGAAGGCAGCTTTATCTGAGTTTGCTCCCGCGCCAGACGCACGATGTCTTGTCGCCGGAGTAGCAGGCATCAGCGCAGAACTGGTACTTCCAGTAGATGTACCATGCGGCGTAGCGAACGTAGCAGCAGTCGCAGTACGCGGAACGCGTGGAAGGCCAGTTGGCTGTGAGAGCCTCACAGGAGTGGCTTCCATCGTTCCCTGGGCACGTTGCATGCTCAATCGCGTCGGTGTCGGAGGGACCTGTCCAGGTGCCTTGCGTACACTCGTACCCCGCTGCACAGCAGCTCCTGCCTGACCCATCGCAGGCGGAAGACTCGGTAGCGCCATCGGGAACCGACCAGGTTGCTGGCCGGGACGAGGCGGAGCACTCTGAATAGCAGGCTGCAAGTTTTTGAAGCTGCTGTTCACGGGCACAGACGGCATATGCATCGCGCGGTGTGGCGGTCCTTGAGTGAGAGAATGAGTTGGTGTCTGCAGAAGGGGAGCATTATGCCGCTCATTATGCTGTTGCTGGTATTGCTGCTGCTGCTGCTGTGCTTGCACCTGTGCGGTGGCACTGCCACTAGCCGAGGTCTTCGGAGCGGGGACGGATTCGGATTCGCGTGGACTAATCATTAGGTCCGCAGGTTTATTACCTCGGAGACCCAATTGTCCAGCCCGGCGACGCGTGAAGCTATTCGGCGGTGGCGGAAGATTGTGTGCTAGTGCGGAGAGACCCTGACTGGCGACAAATGTCGGAGCCTGGTTCTGGTTCTGGGCTTGAGTTGATGCATTTGCGGCGTTCGTTGACGACGAAGATGCCACCGGAGTTGGCGGAGCCGGTCTTGGTGGGCTCGGCCTCTGTTGTCGACCCGATGCCACATGCGGATGTCCTTGCGGGTGCGAGTGAGGATGTGAATGGTGCGAAGGCGGAGAGAGATTTGAGGATGGTGGTGGTGGGTGCAACGGTGCAGCACGAGCAGGCTGATTCGGGTTAGGCGTAGGACTCGTATTCCGGGCGCCGCTGAGCAAAGAAGGACTCCGGGTGCGCGAAGCATTTGCCCTAGCATTCGGAGACATTGTCGGCGGTGTCGGGCCAAGACGCTGCCCATTAGGGCTTGATCCCGTCCGCCTCAAAGGCGGCGCAACCGGTGCTGCTGCCGATCCCGGTCCAGGACCGGTTGCAGACGTCGGCGTTGGATTTACAATGTTTACCGTAACCGACGGTGCAGCGACACTTGCTCTACGCCCAGTAGCATCGATGCCCGCATTTGACCCGCGGCGACCACCTTCAATACCGGCAAGCCCCGCAGCGCTGCCGCGCCGACTCTCAATGAGCGCCTTTTGCTTTTGCTTGACAGCGAGCATGGCGCGGACCTGCTCGACTGCTTGTGGATCACGTTGGATTGTGAAACCCATCACGACGGGCGAGATGGGTGTGTTCGGACCGGTATGTGTCGGCGGAGGCGGAGTATGTGCATGAGCATGCGCTGGATCGCCAACGCCGTCTCCATATGAGATGGCTGCACGCATACTCGGGTGAGCGACGCCGCTGATGGTGACACGCCTTCGCTTCGCGGCATGTTGCTGTGGGCGAACAAGCGAAGGCGGTGGGTGAGGTGGTGCCGCATTTGCATTTGCATTCGTAGTCGTCGCTGTCGTGTTTGAATTCGTAGTCGTTGACGCCGGTACTGCTGTTGCACCTGCATTATTTGTTGCATTATTGCTATTGCTGCTTGCGCTGCCAACGTTGGTGTTGAGGTGTAGTTGCTGACGAGTTCGTTGGGGTCTTGCCGGCGAAGAAGCTTTGGGTGGTGATGGCTTTGACTGAGGCGGCGGAGGCGAGGGATCGAGCTGGTCAACGTCCTGCTCCTGCTTGACGATCCTCGGCGAAGACGGCCTAGCAGAAGACAAAAAAGCTAGAGTTAGTCCCGGAGCCAAACCAAAAGCGTGTATGCAAATAAAACATCAAAAGAAAGATAAAAACCGAGATTACGGAGAAAAGTACAGAGAGAGAAAAAAAGCCAACGCACTCGGAGGAATCGTCTCGTTCCAGCGGACGTTTTCTGTTATCACGTTTTAGCGGAGGAAGTGACGGAGGAGGAGGGTGCGGAGGGCCGTGCGAGTCGTGTCTTGCCTCATTGCGGGACTCGTGGCGGAGGTAGGGTGAGTGAGGATGCGAGTGGATTGGCGGGAGCGCACGGTCACGGTCGTCGAGGGCACTGAACGCCTGGGCGAAGGACGGGAGAGTATGCGATGACATCGTTGGCATTATCGACGAGTGAGGGCGACGATAGGGACGGAAGGGCGACGAAGCGGGAAGGGCGGGCGTGGATTGAGCTGAGTCTAGCTGAGAGAGAGAGGGTGGGAGTCTGCGAGAAGAGACTGTTTGCCGCGCACTAGCAGCCGACTCTCGGCGCGAAGGGAAAAGAAGTCAGGAAGCGTTCGTCAGTCTGCCCGCACTGGCCGACGTTGAGCGACGAAAGGCGAGGGGAGAGGAGATGGTGGGAGGGAATAAAGACTGGTTGTGGACGTCGTGCGTGGGTGTCGCGTCCAAGGAGTGTGTGTTGAGAAAAGTGATGATCAATGCGTCCTGTTTGATCAACTCTCTCAGTATCAGAAAATGAAAATAATGTTACATGTCTGTCTATCTGTCTGTGTGTCTGTCCTGTCTCGGAAGACTTCCCCGGTGAATATATCGGCGTATATACAGCCCGGAAGGTACCCAGAAGAGCTGAGTTATCTCCTTGTCTTCTGCAATATACGCAGAACACACCCACGCGTTCGACACTCGACAACCACGACCGTGAATCCGGCCCTGCACGTTTCATCTCATCCCTCGTCCCTTGCCTTGCCAATCCTCCTAATTTCATCTCCATCCACACACGATGCGCACCCCTCACCCTTCCTCTTCCACATCACCTGTCTCTCACTCACTCCATATCCATCTGACTACCTATTCAACGCTTATCTCCCTTACTCATCGTAAATCCATCTTCAATTCCACTCATCACTCATCCCATCCATTGTTAAGGCAACAAGGGTCTGCCTACAATCATCGACTACTTTAAAAAATCTCCCGTCGGAAATAAGAATGGGGCTTACAAATTCTGCAATGGAAACATCAAAGACGATTTGTTGCGCTCTACGGAACTTTTGGAAAATCAGGAGCACGTATCTAATCCCACCCGGACAAATTCAAATATTAACACCTATTCGAATGAACTTTGTCAACACAACGAACGCCCCTTCCATTTCGGCCTTTCTTCTTACACCACACTCTACACTTCCAATTCCAATTCATTCCTTTCCTCGGAGCTTTTCCCTCCCAATCTTCTTTAGCACGAGTCCGAGGCTTGGCTGATAATTTTACGCCTATAAATATCCTCGCTACAACAATATAAAACAATACGCTCCAAGTTGAGCAGGCTACATGCCCAAAGGATAACTCGACGCTAAATCTCTGGCTTGTCTGTCTGTGACTTCGCAACGGACCTCGCGCCGTATGGTTATATTAATGCGGGCTTACGCTAATGCACTAGTATCCTCGAGGCTGAAGTTTATCTGTTAATCTGATGGCTGTGCTACTCGTCAGTGTGGGATCTAACAAATATGGTCAACAGGGTCCAGAATGGAATTTAGGACCTAAGCACAGTAAAGAAACATGTCATTGTATTATATTTATAATGTATAAGTGTCAATGCTGCATCAAAATGTAAAGGATACGACCTTATTCTCACATTATGCAAAAAAAAGGATATCCTACACTTGGGGTTTTTTTCTGCACACCAAGCACATTTGTGCTTTGTTTCGAAATGGTTCGTGAATACCGGTATTTGTACTACATACTCGGGAGTTTGGATTATGAAATTACTAATTAGCATCTATACACTGCTAGAATACATCGTGTCCTCTGTTAATGCGTATGTTCCACCAATCCCGGCCAGAGAAGAATGAATAGTAACTGTAATACAGCGAGCAATAAACGAAAGAAAAGACCGCCATCCTCTCCAATCCTAATGCAACCCAGAACAGAAAACAGAAAAAAAGAGGAGTAAAAAATGAGAGTAGCCCGAACCTACTCAATAACGATCACTTCCCCAGGCTCCACTCTCCTTACTTTCCCCTTCTCCAAACTCGAAATATCGACATCGGATTCATTGCTCCCGATTCTCTGCTTCTTCTCTCCTAATCCTAACTTGCTATTAAACTTTTCGGAATCAGCACTGCTCGTCTGCGTCTCAGTATCAAGTGTAACACGTATCGAGAGCGGCTCGACATGCGATGGATATCGACGAGTACGGATGAACGCAGATGAAGATGAGGAAGAGGAGGTTGAACGATGGTGATAGTGAGAAGGTTGGTGTCGTTGCCAGAAACACCACGCTTGCCAGACGTCACGTCGTGTGCCGAACATGAGGAAGACTGCCGTTGGTACTATTTACGTTTTACAATTTGAAAAGACAGAAAGTTACTGTTAGAAGACCTTCTTTTGGAACTTGATGAGAGAGGGACGTACGTGATGCCTGAACGAGGTAAGGCCAGATTGAGAGTGAGCGAGCGAGGAAAGCCGCACATGCACTATTCGGCAACGCCAACGTTTAGAAAGAGAACAGAGTGGAGAAGAGGAGGAGAGAATGGTGGACTTACGCAAGTGTAGCGAATCCATACACGCTAAAAATGGCGATCCGGACGATCATTGAAATAGACGCCGCATTCAGCCGTTGTGATGATCGAACAGCCTTCCAGCGTCGGACGAGCGTAATGCCGATTATAACTAATGAAATTTTTTGTTAGATTTGTTTTTTGTTCGGAAGAGAAGGTAAGACAATAACGGAAGAATTTGGAAAGAGGACTAGCGTAAATCCGTAACGAAGAAAGAAGGGATGGAAGAGTGGTGCAGGATGATTAAGTACTTACTCTCTAAGATGATCATGATTGCGATCACGCCGGCCGCGAAACCAGGGACTGCGTACACTCTACGAACAAGATAAAAATGAGCTATAAAGCAATATATCAGATATTTTTCTGACGTACAGTGGGTTATAATTGATCGTGCAGTAATACGAGCCCGTTCGGTCGATGAGGTCCGGGTACTTAAGACACATCTATCAGAGCAAATTAAGCGTCAGAACAAAGTCAGAAAGATATCAGATTAGTGGAGCATACCACTAGCGCTCCGACGGAAAAGGCTATAAACACAACATAGGGAGCGATGAATAGCTAAATACAGTAAATACTTAGTGTCGTTTCGGTGTGCAGGAAGCATCAGGCTTACTGTTATGAGCACTTTCTTCTTATGTGTTTGCAGCCAACACGACTGGTCAAATGCACATCGGACGCCCATCCAGACTTGGATGTGGAGAGAACAGTATGTTACTACGGCTCTAGAGCGAAGAAAATATGAGGAAAAAAAGAAACATATTAGTTGACAAATTATCGTCCTTACAGTGGGACGACGCCGTGTACTAAGCCTGCTTGAGCTACGCACAGACGCGAAGCAACACCTGTAAATCGATCCACGTCGTGATAAATTCTGTTTGAGCCAAGTTTCAATAAGACATCGAGACGAAAATGAGGAGAGACCATGGCATACGTTAAGCAGTACACAATCGAATATATAATCCACGATACGCAGAAATTCACAAGTGTCAGATGTCGTTTCACGCTCGATGAGAGAAGCATCGTCCCAACGAATAAAGGCATCCCGATCTGCCCTCCGAATACCTGGAGGAAGATGAAGAGTGCCTTGTATTTGTTCACATCAGGCGATGGGATATTCGCTAGAAATAGGGATAAGATTAAGTCGATTCAATGTCTTCGGAGGTATTTCATTAAACATACCAGGATCGACTCCGTGTAAACTCATCTTGTAATGTCCGGTAGGTAGAGACGAATCCTCGCTGCTCAAGTTGTGGCGCCCTTCGCAGGTTGATAAGGGTGTAGAGAGAATGGAATGATCACAAGAATGTACAGAGCCGAAAAGAAGGAGGAATGAGAAGGGAGGGAGGAGGAAAAGCGGAAGAGGGAGAGGAGTGGCCGGGGCGGGAACAAGCGAGATGCGTTCGTCTCCCACAAGCGATACTTAAACGTCCTTGAACGTGGGCGGAATAACGAAACAATCGGAACCAATGATCATCACTGTTCCTACATAAAATTGCCTGCTTCGTACTTTAATTATCGCTCGAAGCCAGACCGAGGGAGGTACCGGTTCAACAAGGCACTGATCCTAGAGTTAGAGAGTTGCCAAGTCGGCTGTGCATTGGCCCGTGCGGAGATGCTTCTTGGTTAGTGCTTGTTGATCATCACCTGAACTTAGAGCTTATCGTTAAAACGAGCTCAGAAGTACTGGAGTCATCCAATGCGGAACTGAGATTAACCAGAGCGTCTGTGTCGACCCCATACCAGACACCTTTGCCTTGCGGACGCGCCACTGGACGATGTGCAATGGCGCAGAAGAGTCACAGGCTCCGTCGCCCATTTAAGGGTGGCGATGATGAACTGCGTCGCCAACTGACATGCTAGACAGCAGTACAAGAACACATTCGTCGTTCAGGCAAGAGTTGCCAGCCAAGCGGGAGAACTCAGAACTCACGGGCGATTCGGCATCAATCGTAGTCACGCATATAGACGCTCAATGCTTCCGTTGCTTACCCGCGAACACGCGAAGGCGACGGTTCAATTGCTGGGCGGTGTTCGGGACCGTCTATGAATATCATTTTCGCACCATCACGTAGACGCCAACCTAGACCTGCCAGTGATCGACGCTCATTCTGGGAAGGCAGTCGGTGAGTGTCCATGCAAGTCGGTGAGTGTCCAGTCATGCGCAGTGTAAGCAGTGTATAGATAGTACTTGTCATGTCTCCCTTGTCAGGTGTGGCATATGTCTGGAGTGTGTGAAATCCTTTGTTCTCAGCTTGGACTGGGATACGGCTTTCATAACGGCACCTAAGATCCCCCGCAGTTAATTCAAGTCAACAAGAGGACAGGGGTTAAGCATCAGTCGCTGCGGGAAGCCGTCGTATAACCGACCAATCAATGTCGCCATCTTCCTCGTCTGCAATCTTCCAACGTAATATGTTATACCGGTGATTCACCCCCTTAAGACGCGGGACGCATGTTCCGCGACCATCAGCTCCACCACAGCCACCAGTCGCATCCATCGCATGCAAGAATACGACCTCACGCACTCGAGAATGTAACAGCGCCATACTGCACATCATGCATGGCTCATGGGTCGTGAACAGCGTGAGACCTGTGAGCAAGTAATTCGAGCCGTTGAGTCGCGGTGTTTCTGCACCCGTATTTTCCGACACGCTGTCGGTCATAGACGTCAGGGAAGAAGTAAGGGAATCGGTTAATTTGCCTGCAATGACTTCCACTGCCGGTGTCGAGGTCCTTGGAGGAGATGGCCAGAACGATGCGCGCCAGTCCGCAACTTTTCGTATGACATTCAGGACAGAATGTCGGAGTGGATTCAAGGTAGATTGGCGGGTGTCACGCGCCAAGAAGAAAGGCATGTTTTCTTTGAATGCACCGTCTGTTTCTTCGGCAAATGGTTGAGGAACATATGAGATAATTGGCAGCTGATCCGCGAAATATCAGCAAGTGAAATCATTTCACGAACTGTCTCAAGGACATACCTCGCCTTCCTTTTCCGCCATTCGAGCCTCGTCTTTCAAGACCTGCATTGCATCCCATGCCCAAGCTGTTTTCGCCTGGCTCCACGGTTCCGGTTCTCCTTTTCGTCGAGGTGCATAAACCGTGGGCCAGATCTCAGCCTTGAGCTTGAGCGACTTCGGTGTCAGAGCGACCAATTCTGGTACATCGACCTGGTACGGTTTGGGTAGATCATAGCTCTCAGGGATAGCGGGAGCTTGTTCGGAAGAGGAGAGGAGCAAGGAAGAGATGGTGCCTGCTCGTCGGATCCGTTTCAAGTGGGCCAAGTCAGGTGTTTCAAGGCCAGCAATCTTTACCCACCTAGGTTAAAAATGTGCAAAGATAAGAAGAGAGTTCTAATTGCGGAAAGGGACCACCATTACTTACTTGAGCAGGAGTGACGTCTGCTTTGGATCTGGAACGTCGACAATCCAGACTTTTACTTCCTCTCCACATGAGTAACGATGTACAAACCGTTCATATGAACACTTACTTGTCCGAATGGATCCTTCTTCGTCTTCGCCTTCATCTTCGGGCATTACTTTCGTTCGCAAGAACGGCAGATCCGTTTCCTGTACAAGTTCGCCAGGAACCCCATCAGAGAATGGATTATTTCTAACTGTAACAAGTCCTCGGAGTGCACTCCAATCATCTAAATAGCTTGTAGCGGAACCATTCGAGATGACGAATTTTTCATTCGATGATCCGACAGGTGTTAACCAAAGATTATGTCCGTAAAATATGCACAGCTCTTCGTCTAGATCAATATCGCGTGCTGTAGTAAAGCGGATTTTCTCGTTCACAGAATCGACAGAGAAAGAAACGTTTGGTTCATCCGAATGATTAAAAAGGGATCCTTTTTTATTCACAAATTAGTAACTAAGTGGCATCAAAGGTGCATTAAACCCTCACCCAACCCAAGAGCTAGGGCCATATGCCCATCTGGCCATTTGAAAGCATAGTGGTCGAGAGTAGTGTGTTTTCCATGAGACTCATACTCTTCTGAAGAGAACAGTAATACAGGACTAGATTCCACTACTGTCCGAGCGGGAATTTGCCTGCAAGCTGACAAGAGTTGGCCTTCAGAAGTACGGGTTTATGAAGCACATCACCAACCAAAGAGACCTCGCCCTTTGCCTTCAGTGGATTTTATTGTGCAAAAGGCGTTTCCTTGGGCCTGTTGTTGGACATGCCCGGACATGGACTGACTGAGAGTGAAGTGATAAAAATCTCGAGTCAAATCTTGAAGTTGATCATTCAATCAATCAAAGACCGTATGACATAATTAAATTAGTCATATTGTCCAAGTATGGCAAGTAGTCAGGTCCACGCTTGCAACCTCCGCAAACGAAACGACAAACTCACATAGAAATCGCTCAACTCTGTTCACCATGCTTGTGGCAGCGTCGAGCCGCTTATGCTCGACCAAGGCTGCCGTAGGAGCTTCCAGGGTAAGTGGCAAGATCCATTGCTGAATCACCTGGTGCTGACCTTTTTATTAATGTCGATACAGCGTGGTCTGCATGACCTTACGACGACCAAGTCGCATAAGCCCATTATATCCTATGGCCCACCAGGTCGGAGTGCGGTAACTGGGCACACTGTCACCGTCTTTGGTTCCACTGGATTCCTTGCGCGGTATCTCATCTCGAAGATAGGTTAGTTCGCCATACACTCGGCTATTTATTCTGGAGATGAATGTGCTGATCGCTTTCGCGAACACTCTGTAGCGAAATCCGGAACTCGCGTTATTGTGCCGTATCGGGAGGAAGATGAGAAACGACACCTGAAGGTTATGGGCGACCTTGGGCAGATTATTCCGCTGGTATGACTGGATATAGTTACGTGATCACCTACTTCAACTGAGGAAATTACAGGAATGGGATATGAGAAATGAACAGCAGATCGCCGAGTGTTTGCGTCACTCTGATACTGTATACAATCTTGTTGGGCGCAACTACGAAACTAAGTTCGTCGCATGAACTTCGTCCGCCATATTATGCTAAAGATAATTAACAGGAACTTCAACTTCCACGACGTTCATGTCAATGGAGCCGCGTCAATTGCGCGTATAGCAGCAGAGAACGGCGTAGATAACTTCATTCACGTGTCGCACTTGAACGCTGCACCAAATTCGCCGTCTAAGTTCTATGCGACGAAGTATGAAGGTGAATTGCGCGTGCAGGAGGCTTTCCCTGGTGCTACTGTTGTTCGGCCTGCCACTATGTTTGGTTATGAAGACAGACTCCTCACGAACATGGCTAGTGAGTGCATAACAGTCTATATTGTGGAGTATAGATTAATATCATAAATCAGGATGGCCTATCTGGTGGGGATTGAACCAGGGAGATACGAAGATTCGTCCGGTCCACGTAAGATCACCATGCACACCACGTTGCACACCACGTTGCACATACTAACGACTCACAACTTTCTCAAGGTTATGGATGTTGCACAAGCATTAACTAACTTGCTCAGCAAACCACCTGTTGGACGCACACTTTCTCTTCCCGGTCCATCCACTCTCACCCACGAATACCTTTTGGAACTGATCGCGTCTGTAACTTATAACCCCGTGAGCAAGGCTCCCTCACTTCCGAAACCCGTCGCTCTTGCTCTCGCGAAAGTCTCCAACTTTGTCTGGTGGCCAACTGTTGTTCCGGATGAGGTCGAGAGACGCTTCATTGACGATGCGGACACTCCTGGAGACTGGGACGTCGTCGGTGTTGTTCCAGACGAAGTTGAGACCTTCGCAATCAAATACCTTAGACGATTCCGCTCTGCGTACGTGACAATATTCGTATTTCCCTCTGACCCAATACTGACTACTGTTCAGTGACAATTACGTGCGCCCTGTCATCTTCCCACGCGAACGTCCTTTCGCAGTCAGTGTGAAATCATTAGTTCCACGCAACGCACAACTGATACTGATATACAGGGAGCACAATAAACGTAATTATTATTGTAGAGGTAGAGATAAATTCTTAACTCGCAATAAAATATATTTTTCTCCCAATTTTTTGGTTCTGCGTGCACGTGACCAGATTTGTTACCAAAGCAGAATATTTTCGATATTGCGACCATGGCTATCACAAAATCTGCCAGTACGAGCAAAAGTAAGTTAAAACCTAGACTATCAGATGCATCAACCCTACCAGGACCTTCAGATGCTGCTTCATCCTCATCCTCATCGAGCTCGGAATCAGATTCAGAAGAGACCAGCTCCGACTCCGGCTCGGATACAACGTCAGCTTCAGATTCAGATTCAGATAGCGAATTCGGAGAAGTGACCAAGGAATATCTTGACTCGCTTCTTGAGAAGGCAGAAGCAAATTTACGAGCGAAGGCACAAGTGAAGGGGAAGGGGAAGCAAAGGGCGTTTGGGGAGGAAGAGGAGGAGATTCGGTTGGATGATGAGCCAGAGGAGGAGGATGTCTCGTTAAAGTGCGTTATTACTCTTCCTTTTCCGTATCAGAGTTTTTGACCTGCGATGCTGGAAATAAAGACGACTTCCCCAGCTTGATCCTGGGATACTTCCACCAGGGTACTTTGACTTCAAAGATGGAAATCCGAAAGAGGTGCCAACGTTACGAGACATTGACGCGGAACTTCTCGCTGCGTCTGCTTCTTCGTCTACACCTGCTGCTCCACCAGAACCCCCTGAAGTCGGGAAAGACGGTCGAAAGCTGACGAAGAAAGAGCTGAAAGCTGTGCGTCCTGCCTTCTTCTTAATCTAGCTCCCTTTTGTCGTCTTGACTGACATACACTGGTAATGCAGCTCAAGAAAAAGAATGCAGCACCAGGATGGTCCGACTTACCTACTCCAGATGCAGCAGACTTACCAAGGCTGTATCGTGAAGTGGAAGCACTCCGATTACGCAACGCTCTCGATCCAAAGAGGTTCTACAGGAAGGAATCTGGTGAAGGGAAGGGAATCAAAGGATTGCCTGAACGTTTCGCTGTGCGTCTTCGTTCATCTATCTCATTCTTATAGACACATAAAAATGTTCCCACTTATTTCTCATCTCCATGCTTACTTTTGTTGCATCTTTTTCGACAGATTGGTACGATCGTAACGACGAAAACGCCATTCGGCACGACGAGTGGGGAGAACCTCGCACGTTCCGAACGGAAGCGCACGCTCGTTGACGAGCTCGTGGCGGATTCAGAGGCGAAACGGTATGCGAAGCGCAAATTTGGCGATTTGCAGACGGTTCGTGCTGCTCGTGGAAGGGGAACTCTTGCGAAACGGGCTGCTGCTAGAAGACCGAAGTGGTAGCCAAAAAAAGTATTATTCTTGTACGTCGATATTTAGATGGATAGCGACATTAAAAGTATGTTATAAGGAAAAGCAAGAAATCTATAACTTGACACCCTTGTGTATACTAGCTATTCCTCCCCAAAGATCTGTCCATGCACCGCCTTTACCTTCAAAGTCATCACCCGTTGCAAATCCTGCATCGCGGATCATCTGTCCGAATTCTTCTTGAGGTGGGAAGCGTCGGATGGATTCTACGAGATATTGGTAGGATGCACGATCTGAGGCGAGGATGGATCCTAAGAGAGGAAGGATGGAGAAGGAGTATTGGTCGTATACCCTGTTTTCATTGGAAGTTAGGCTTGAACGTAGACTGGGAGAAAGGAAGAAACGGGAAGAACAGAGAAGACATACGAGGATAAGAGAGGGTTTGTAACATGACTGAATTCGAGGCAGGCAAAGGTCCCTCCGGGTTTGAGGACTCGGTGCGCCTCCTTCAGGACGTCCGGGATAGATGTGCAGTTACGGATCCCAAAAGCTATTGTGTAGAGGTCATACGTGTTCGAGGGTAAATCGAGTTTTTGTGCATTTCCTTCGCGGAATGAGATTTGCGGTGCTAAGTAAGTAATTATTAGCAATAGACACCGTAAAAAATAATGAAATACCACAAACTGTTATGATACATCGTCAGCTTAAACCTCTTCCTCCCCTCCGCAAGCATATCTGGATTAATATCCAACACCTCCACAGTAGTCTCCCGATCATAATGTTTCTCCCTTGCATGATCCAATATACGAAGAGCAATGTCTCCTGTTCCACCTGCGACGTCGAGACAACGCAAGGGACCTTTCCGACCGGGATTGAGAGTCGAAACGAAAGTATCTTTCCAGAGACGGTGGACGCCGAGAGACATGGCGTCGTTCATGAGGTCGTATTTTCCTGCGACGCTGCTGAAGACACTGCGTACGAGGTCCTCTTTTGTGTCTGTCTCGACTTCTTGGAAGCCGAAGTGGGTGGTGGATTTTGAGCTGCCTGAGCTGGCGCCAGAGCTTGAGTTTAAGCTCGTTGCATTCTGGGCTGATGAAGGCTGTTGCGATAAGTGTCTTGCATAGCTGCTGCAGCGTATATTTGATGTCCTATACCGAGCGTTCAATAATGAACGCTGCGCTAGCGAACGCAGGTGTCGTGCGCCAGTCATGGGAGTCTCGAGAAGGAAGAGTGCGGCAAACATCACGTAAACAACACGCCGCCAAAAGACGCGTCTCGTCATCACTTTTTCTTAATCAAAATTTCTCGACTTCCGCACAAAGTCCATTGTCCAATTAAATGTCCAGATGCGTAAATGCTAACTACTACATTATTCCATTACTACCTCCTATCGCCATCATACACAAGCCATGCCATTCCATACCGCACCACGAACGCGAATACACTGCAGGTCACCTGAACAACGGCAAAAGAGGGGCCGGTTAGTACGTGGGATCACGAATGGGAAAATTAGAAAAAGATGTGTCTAGCCATCACTCACCTGAGTAGCAATTAAAGTCTTGACGAGCCGCTTCTCGGTCATGGGCCCAAGTCGCACCAAAAACACATTCAGGATGGTGAGGTTCGTAGCCTCGGTTATCATTCCATCCTGCGGGCGAGTCGTAAGTTCCGTCAGACCCACCGCGGAGAGAAGACGCAAAGTAAGAGTTGTTAAGCGAGAGGGTGGTTTTTCTTTGAACGTCACGGTTGATGGGTGAAGTAGATTTGTCTGACCGTCGAATCTATTGGGAGATTAAATGGACCAGGTAAGTGTTTCAGTAAAAGGCAACGTTAAGGATGTATTACCTCGGCAGCCGATGTCTAGGGCAAGGGACTATTCCAAACAACTGCGGACATGACAGGATGAAGTTGAATATTTGCGGCATGAAGAAGAGTAGGAGCGTCTTCGAGAAGTGCGCTTGAATGCCCACGACCGCGAACGCCATTCCCGTGAGGTAGCAGAGCGTGTCCCCCGGGAATACTCTCGCTGGATACCTAACGTTTAAGGACAAATAAGTGTAAGAAAAGGTAAGGAAGATCAGAGAATATTGATCCTACCAGTTGTGATACAAGAATGCGGAGCATACACTCACGAGTGGTAGCATGAAGTACATGCTGAAAAGGTGCCTTTCGACGAGTTCCTTGCTACCATGAGCCATTCCAGCGCTCCAGATTCCGCCGAAATCAATGTCTGTCTTTCCGCCGAGGAGGTACATGGGCAGACGGAAGCGGAAAGTGGTCGTCCACGGCAGGTAGAGGCAGTCGTTTACAATTACGGATAGCGCAATGATTAGCGCCTGGCTGACCTCTGCCCCATTAATTCCTGCGAGGATGTTGATACTGTTCGTGGCAAATGTCGAAAGCATGGCCATGTAGAGGTAATATAATGGTCCTGTTGAATCATGTTCTTCAGATGAAACAGGTACACTTGTTCTTGCAGACTCTGACCCACCCAGATTGATTACTCTTCCAAGGAGCCAACGCATTGGTATTGGTACCACTACGTTCGTATTACCCTGCTCTGCGTAATAAACCAGCAGGAGGGGAATAGAAGCAATGATCGGTATTGGTAACTTGTACCTCCATCGAATGTCAAAGACGTCATCGAGAAATCCAAGCATCGTCGCCATCAGAAGCGAGAGCACCGAAGAAAGGTAAACAGATAACTATCAAGTAGTACGTCAGTGCCAGTACCGAAATGGACTGCGGATGGAATGACGAACTGACTTGAAAGTGCGGGAAGTCTGTCGCAACGAGGCCTTCGGGTCTCGTCTTAACCGAGTTGACAAGGAAGTCGGAGAATGGGAATGGAATGAAAGTAATTAGTAAAAGAACGTATACTGCTGCACAGACAAGCCCTTGACTCTCTGGTCTAGACAAATTGACACGTTGATAAGATCCGCAGAGCAATTGCCAAAGAATAGAAGGAACTGACATGTCATCATCATACACCTTAGCACGATCTTTCCCTTTTAGCCCAGCTTTCAAGAATGAAGGTCCGAGAGCCGGGATTAGATAGAGTGTGGCGAGAAAGGCTATCAAGGAGAAGCCAACAGAAGTAAACAAAGAGGGAAGTGCGGGCGCAGGATCCAGCAGAGGTCTAATTATGAACCAAGCAGCGCATGGCAGGAGCAACGCAAGCACAAACCCAGACGGTAGCGTTCGAGGCCTGAGGGGCATTGAGTCCGGCTGCAGGACCACTCAGGTGTTTGCTGTCTTTGTACAAATGTTATTTTGCGGCGATAGCTCAAGCCAAGTGCAAACTGCTGGATTTGGTCTGACGGTACGCGACGTGTCAAGTGCGCGTGACACCGCGTCGTACTCACGGTCACGCGCCTTAAGTAAACCTTAAATAATAAATTTCGTGTTGCTTCAGAAGTTCAGATGTCTTTCTCTAGTTGTTGGTCAACAACAAAATGATGCTCAACTACTTGTATGTATGGGCCCGATAATTCTGACAGGTCTTCAACAAATGAAGCCATGCTTTGCGACGTCGCACTCAAGACACCTGTTGGTATTAGTTTTCCTCCAGACCGAACGGGCCGCCGCAACCTCGCCATTCGACTCCCGTCATCCTGGCCCGGTGTTTCTCCACTCCAGCTTCGGTCCCGTGAAGAAGTCACAAGACCTACAACTGCATCCTTTTCACCTTCGGAAGAATACTTTACTACTGATGCCGTATGATATTAATTATGCCTAAGCGCCGCGCACTACTTTGTTCTGTGGTCTTGGTCTCCAACATCTAGTCGCTTTGAGCTGAGATACACAATTCATCAATGTATCGGACTTGGGGCTTTGGATACTCCTGGTCGTGGCTCATCTTGGTCTTACTGACTTTCGCTACTCTTGGGACTGCGTTTCTGTCTACTAATTTGACTGATGACGTACAATGGGACAACTACAGCTTGCTCGTTAAAGGCCAGCGTATATTCCTTCAGTGAGTACCACTATGATCTATATTAATAGCAAACTAAAACACGACAGCTCTGGCGAATTTCATACGTATCGACTCCCCGTGCCTTCCCTGTGGCTCGATATCTTGCAAAAAATGAAAGCCATGGGACTGAACGGTGTTAGCGTATATCTACACTGTAAGTTTATAACATTCTATACTGACATATGCTAATAATTTTTGACATCCAGGGGGTGAGATCAATCCGGCTCCAGGCGTTATTGACTTGGACGGCATTCGATCGTTGCAAACTTTATTTGATGCGGCGAAAGTGGCCGGTATCTGGATTGTCCTTAGGCCTGGTAAGCCAATTTTAACTAGCGTATGAAGATCATTTGGACGATTCTCTGTTTTAGGACCGTATATAAATGCTGAGACCACAGCTGGAGGTCTTCCTCACTGGGTAACTTCGCAAGTAGCTGGTATTGTGCGAACAAATGACACGGACTACACTGCGTCATGGCAAGAATACATATCAGCTATTGTCAATGCCACCGTGCCGAATCAAATCACGCACGGTGGACCCGTGATAGGTACGTGCTAGAGCGCGGCTGTGACCGCTTACTGATAACGAACGTTGCTTATAGCTGTGCAAGTCGGTACGTTGGTTGACGTTCTCATAGTACGGTGCAGTGTTGACGATTATGGCAATGTAGATAACGAATATTCGCAGACTGGTTATGGACATGCTGAATACTTTCAAGAGCTAGAGCAAGCTCTTCGAGCAGGAGGGATTGTTGTGCCGTTTACGTATAATGATCCTGGAGAACTCCGGAGCTTTATCAATGGAACTGTTTGTGATGTATCCATTTATGAGCAGTGGCTGACAGAAAATTAAGGGCGCAGTCAACCTCTATGGGCAAGTTAGAGACTGTCTGAAACGGAAGCCAGGTTAACAGATGTAATATCTAGAGTGGATGCCTATCCACAACGATACAATTGCTCGTTCCCTGATGTATGGCCACAGATAGCTGACAATTGGCACGATTACCACGAAGGTATGTCTATGTTCTACCCTCGACAACAAATTACAGAGGGACTAATTTCGTCTAGACGTGAACCCAAGCGAGCCATTCTATTTCCCAGAGGTGAGCAATTACAGTGTCACGGGAGCTGTACGAAAGCCATAATATTTGTAGTTCCAAGGCGGTTCTTTTGATGCCTACGGACCAACTTCTCCAGGGTATCTCGGTTGCCAGAGATTAACTGGACCCGAGTATGAGGATGTCGTTTACAAGATGTTATGGGCTGCGAATGTGAAGATGCTCAACTTCTATATGCTTTATGGGTGAGCTAGTAGATATTACTCTGAGATTGCTCTATCGCTAACAGTGTCTCAAGAGGGACATCTTGGGGAGGTATTCCATACCCTGGCGTATATAGTGAGAGCTTCGTTCTGTATCAGTGAAATTAAATTAACCTTTCAACAGCTTCATATGACTATGGTGCTGCTATTGCCGAAAATCGACTTCTGACGCCTAAGGCTATAGAGCTGAAACGCCAAGGCCTCTTCCTTCGTTCTTCTCCAGACTTCTACAAAACGAACTGGGTCGGAAATAGTTCATCCTCAGCAGTCAATATCTCCAATCCGAATGCCTTCGCCGTCTTCCTTAGGAATCCTGATACCGGCACTGGTTTCTACATCGCTCGTCAGAATGATACAACATCGACGTAAGTTTAATAAATGCCCCTAGCCAGAATTAAAATTTATCACATGCTTGCTCGTTAGCGCCACGACGGACTTTGGATTGCAAGTCTCAACCACGAACGGCACGCTCGAGATTCCGCAGACGATTCCGTCAATCACACTTACAGGTCGGCAGTCCAAGGTTATTGTCACTGACTACCGCTTTGGCGGCTCCCACGTTCTGTACTCCACTGCCTCCATCCTCTTCGCTGGCCAGATTGGCAACCGTGATGTTTTATTCCTTTATGGCGACTCAGATCAGCAGCACGAGTTCGCAATTGATCTGAAGGGATCTGGAAGCGTTGCAAGGGATCCGGCTGTAAAGACGACAAAACGTTCGGAGACGACCATCTTCAGCATCACGGGGAACGTAACTCGGCTCATCACCCTTTTCGACTCTGGTAAACAACTAATCCTGTTCAGCGACACAAATACCGCAGGGACATTCTCAGCACCTGTCATTCCAAACGAACACGCCTCAGGAGATGCTCGAACATTCGCCAACTACTGGCAACTTGGCTCAAACTCAACTATCCTTGTCGGCGGGCCGTATCTCGTAAGGAATGCAAGCATTTCAGGATCAGAGCTTCGCCTCCAGGGCGACCTAAATGCAACCGACAGCACTACTCTAACGGTGATTGCGCCACCTGAAGTTTCTTCGGTGTTCTGGAATGGCAGAAATGTTCACACGACCAAGGACTCTGCATCTTCAGCTACCTCTCGTGGAGGCTTCATCGCACAACTGCAACCGTACGTATCGATTTCGGTTCCGGAGTTATCGGGCTGGAGATTTGCGGATAGCCTTCCCGAAGTCCAGAGTAACTTCTCCGATGCGGATTGGACGATTGCGAACCATACGTCCACAAACATACCATTCAAGCCGTATTACGGGGATGGAAGAGTGTTGTATGGATGTGACTATGGCTTGTAGGTCTGGGCTCGATTTTATTCCCGTGAGCACATGTTTGAATGACACTGCGTAGCTGCGAAGGTGCTGTCCTCTGGAGAGGGCACTTCAACGCGTCAGGCGACGAGAAGTCGGTGAATCTCTCAGTCAACGGTGGTCAAGGTAATCTTACCATTTCGAGTTGCACACCGCGTTCCCAGTGCTAAATTCATTATTATGTAGCGTTCGCTGCAAGCGTGTGGCTCAATGACATCTACCTCGATACTGCATTCGGAAAGTCGGTGGTTTCACCTTCCTAAAGTTTCCTTTTTCTCAAAGCTTGCTCTTGGTAGCTCGACGAACGACAGAAATATTCTGGAAGAGACAGATCAAGTATTTACCTTCCCAGAAAGTGCCGTTCTCGCCGGGCGAGATAATGTCATCACAATCGTCCAGGTCAGAATACAAGCACTCATGTAATCTTGACTCATGCTGATTCCCCGAATGTTAAGGATAATATGGGAAACAACGAGACTGGCTGTTCGTACAAAGCAAATTTAAATTATCATATATTGACTTGACCTCACAGACGGAACGGACGGTCCTAAGTCTCCGAGAGGCGTGAGGGGCTTCCAGCTTGATACAGGCACGTTTGGAGAATGGCGTGTACAAGGAAAAATCGGCGGATACACCAGGTATGCTTGAATTTACATATTCGCGTTCTCCAAGTGCCTACTTCGACCTTCGTAAACTCTGTCAGTTTTCTTGACAGGACTCGCGGTGTGATGAACGATGGTGGTCTTTTCGGGGAGCGGCAAGGATGGCATCTACCCGGATTCAATACGACGGGCTCAGAGTGGGTGGACCGTGACCTATCTGAAGGGCTACCCAGCGACGCAGCGGGAATTGGCTTCTTTGTGACGACGTTTGATCTGCATATTCCCTCAGGCACAGATGTCCCGATGAGCTTTGTCTTTGACGATGGTGCGGGTTACACGGGTGCACCGTATCGAGCATTATTATTTGTGAATGGCTGGATGATGGGCAAGCGCATCGCGAACCTCGGGTATGATTTCCGTTGAACAAGTCCACGCCACTATATTTTGACCACTCCGTAGTCCTCAAGCAGCATTTCCAGTGCACGAAGGTATCTTGAATTACTCCGGAATGAAGTATGCTGAGCATTATCTCAAATACAAGAGTTATACTCATGCATATTTTTCCTAGTACTGTGGCTATTGCCCTATGGTCAATGCTGCCCCAAAAAGGTGTCTCGCCGACTCTCTGCTTGTCTGTTGATGCAATCTTGGAGGGAGGCGTTGGTGGGATCGTTGTCAACAATCCAAGCTACGAGAGTGTGCGTGGGAACTGGCTGTAAAATATGTCAGTATTCGTATTCTAAAGTAGTTCGGTCGAAAGTGCATATATAAAATGACGAATATGAAAGGTAGTAATGTGAAAACCCCTTAAAGCTGTATTTTATAAGTAGTTTGTAGTTAAGTTTGGCTACTGATGAAGTTGTGACAGTACTGTGACAGAACGCGAAGCTCACGTGGTAGATAATAATCCCTGAGCGATTACGTAATGGAACAACTTTTAACGAACTCAAATCTCAATCGTCAATCTTCCGTCTCTCATTCGACGACGAATCACAGCAAATCATGGCACAGGGCAAATCAAAAGGTCTTCAAAAGAAATCAGAATCCTCTCGACACGCAGCAAGGGCGGCTGCAAATCCAAAGAAAGGAAGGCGCGCCATCGCACCAAAGAAAGCTGCAGCTGTTAAGACAGCTACTTTGCACAAGGTCTGCTCTTTTCTCGGTTTTGATGTTTCTGAGATCACAATCCGACCTTGTTGCGTTCTCGGAACTAAATCATACGTTGTTGTCTTGGATTGTACTGAAATGTTTGTTTTGTTGTTTTTTGCAGTCACTTTCAGCCAAAATAAATCGATCGATTGAACAGCAGGCTGCGAATGCAGCGTCGCCTGGAACGCTTACCATCCTTCGTGGTGAATCTTCTACAGAGTACGCATCTGTTTCTTCGCTCCGAAACTAATTTTATGACATATATTAACTGTCGTTTTGTTTTCCGCTTACTTTTTTGTTTTTTCTCAGAAGTTCGAAAGCAGGGTCTTCGAAAAAGACAAAGAGCTAGACTTCGTGTAACAGCTGACTAGAGACCTCGGAGCTGCCTACGATGTACGCTGTTTATTTAATTTGAACTCCTGCGAAGAATATCACTGACATTCGACTATTCTATGCTTAGTTCATTTGCATACACATCCTGCAATTCGGACCTGACCATCTCAAATACGGATTGGCACACGACTGCAATTCACGTTGTCTTAGTCCTACATAACTTATACAGCAGGTTGCCCAAAGCATCACTTTCAACACAACCAGCAGTTTTGCACAGGCAATCAACTCGTGTACGGAATTGGTCACAATGGACAGGGGGAAAGCTTTTTCTAAAGCAGACAAAGGTTTGATGTGTCGTATAGACCGCAAAGTTTATTCGAGAGCTAAAAAGTACAAAGTCACGTATGCATGATGATGGTGATACCAAATCACAAGAAAATAAACCGCACATTATTGTCAGAATTGAGTGAAAAAAATCGTAAAGGAAAGAAATATTGCAGCAGTGGGGATATGAGGATATGGGTTATGAGGATATGGGATTGATAAAAGCCTGTATATTGTACAAGACGCTTGAGTATGAACAAAGCATATGATTGAAGAGAGAAAGGGAAAAAAAGATGATTGTAAGCATAAATGCAACAAAGAATGCACAGCAGAACACAGTGAAGCGGTGTGAGAAAGAAAGAACAAGACGATTGGAAGAGAAGCAAAAATGAGACGTAAGCAGTAAATAGACAGCGTAGCGTAACTTGCTATATGACAATAGAATTGCAATCGAGAGGAAAGAGAAGATGTATGCATGATGATAATGGAAAGACATAGATGGCGAAGGAACTCGCAGAAAAGAGATGATTGATTGAGAGAACAGAAACAGCGATGAAAATGATGAGACGCATTGTGGTAACAAACCTGAAATGAAATAAGAAACATGCAGGAGACATGAGTGTAAGGGTCCAAGAAGCGTAACCATCAGCCCTTGCGATCAGAAGAAAGGAGAAAGAGATGCAGCGACGCTCGAGTGCTCGTCCTTGCATAAGAGAGCACCGTTTAACTCGTTTTACGCCAACCGTCATGATGCAGCTGATGGGACTGGTTCACCAGCACCAGGGACGAGCCCTGAAACTGCAGTGCCCGTGCCAGGGTTGGTGGTTCCATCACCTCCAGCAACGACTGGAGAACCGTTGGGAGGTGTAGAACTTACTGCGGTAGTCGCCGTCGTCGCTGTGCGACCGCTTGCCCAGATAATGTGCTTGATGTCCATGACGGTATTCTTTATCTGCTCGCTCAGTAACTCGGGAGGCTGCATCTGGAGGAAGCGCAACAAAGTCTCCATCGCGGAATTCGCTTCCTGCGTACTAACATTCGGTGTGCCACTCATGAAGCTTGTGACAGACGATCCACTGTTTGAGAGCCACGGTGACTGGGTAGCAGCGACATGGTGCTGGAGAAGGTTGCCCCCGGGCGTGAAGGGTGTAGATGTCTGGCAACTGAGCGGCGTACGCGGGTCCTGAGCATTGCGGTTAGCATTGTTGGCCATTCCGTTGATATGACCGTCGATGTTCGATGCGTTCGGGGTTGCATCGTTGCCGAAGGAAAATCCTAGAGTTGGGCCCCACACTCTAGCACCGTCAAGCGTTGTGGACTGGTTACCTAGATCCATGCCCGGACCTGCGATATCGGCCCCAAGAGCTCCAGAGAGACGCAGCTGCTCATCGACATTCTGGAGCATCATTTTCCGTCTGAATTCTTCAAACTTATCCGCTAGAAGTGGACGCTCGTCGTCCGTGTCGTCAGGAGTATAAGAACCGGGATCAGGAAGACCGAGCCACTGGCCCTTCTTGATGTTCAGCCTGTGCTTGAAGTTTTCGATCCACCCAGCGGACGCCTTGAACTTGTCCTCGGAGATATGGACGCTACGAGCAATTTCACGAGCTTTGACGCGTATCATTGCATCGGATATAGGTGTGCCAGAATCGCGGCATTCGGCCAGCCATGACTCCATCTTTGCCTCGATGGCTCCGAACTTTGGAGGCCGGTGTTTTGCTAGGTTATTCTCATCACCGTCCTTGCAAGCCATCCAGTAGTTCTTGCGCTTCAGAATTTTGCTGACGGTGGACCGCTCAACGCCCCAACGTGCAGCGATGTCTTCCTGACGCGAATTCGGGTGCTCGAGATAATACTGGCAGATCTCCTTACGTTGTCGGTTCTGCAAGCGCCGCTTCGGCTTTGACGTGACAGTATCGGTAATACCACTATACGAAGAGACGGACACGCGACGTGTGGAGCTCGATGACACGGGAGGGCGGGAACAACCCGACGCTGGGTTTGATCCCGACGAAAGCGATGTCGCCGCGGACACGACGCTCGCAGCTGGCGACGTGGATCGCTGGTTTGTTGAGCTACTCGCCGAGCGTGAGTGCCCATTAGCTGCGTGTTGAGGAAAGCCGTAATGGGAAAAGTTGGACGAGGTGACGGATGTAGGTGTACTCGGATGCTGAGGGGACAAAGCAGAAGCATTCGGTATCGTGATTTGACTGATCTGGAGATCGGGTAGACCAATGCTAGGCTCTGTGAGCTGCGGGGTTACTTGAAAAGCGCTCGGCGTCTGCGCGCCCGCAGAATTGGCGCTGCTGCTAAATAATGCGAAATTCTATATAATGAAATGTATTAAAAACAAATATTAAATTTAAAAGAATAATTTTTTTAAAAAACAAAGGAATAAGGTTAGCAATTTTTACATTCTAGGGGCTAGTGGCACGATGAAACACACCTCGTCGAATCGCTGCTGAGCATGAACATCCTGAGACGTGTTTGAATGCGCTGCAGCCATACGAGCTTGACGACGCGTTATAACGCGACTAGGCCCGACGGATGACGTGCGAAGATGTGCGGGATCGAGCGTGAGCTGGCGAGGCTCGCCCATATGCGCGTTTGGTGAGCCCTGGTGCATCGTAGACGCGAAGGACGGATGGTGCGGATGAGCATAGGGATGGTACATGAGATTAGGATGGGTCGCGCTGGCGTTGGCGCTGTTCAGCGGCGACATCTGCGCTTGATTTTGATCGTGTCCTTGGCCGTTGCTCTGGATCTGGTCTGGATGACCGTGTGGGCTGTTGTCGATGCTGTCCACAGGGATACCGGTGCCGTCGAGGACGAAGTGATAGGGCGTGTGTTGCATCTGGTCCTGGTTGTCTGCCATGGGCGAACTGCTGGCGAAGGAGAATGGAGAGCGTAAGATATGAGCAGCGAGTTCACGCTGTGAGCATGCCCTCGGGATATGAATGCGATGGAATGGATGAGCGGTGGATGTCGCGCGCTGGGGGCCGTTGGAGGGGTAAGGCGAGGAGGGGGAGGACGTGAGGGAAGGAGGCAAGGTGCAAGCGACCATTTCTGTCGAATAAGTACTAGCACCAATGCAATCAGCAAGGGTCCAGTACAAAGCAGACTATGTACTCTCACTCACTCCTCTTATTCTTTTCTCGTCTACACCCAAGTAGTCGCTTTTTTGTTTTTGCAAGTCTATTGCTACCCTACTGGCCCCACTTTTATCCAAACTGTGGGTGGCGGTGGATGTCCATCGAAAATGAATTCATCCAGGCTGTCCTCCAGTCTCGGAGCCTGTACATGGGTCTACCGTACTGGGATTACATAGTCCTCTCTGGTCCACGGAAATACATCTGTAGCCTACGCTCAAAGTTCTCACTCGTATCGCCCGTATCTCGACATATTTCAATTCTCCACCTATCGCGCTCTGTCTTCTGACATTCCGCACTTGTACTCTAGGGTCACGTTCGTCTACCTGAGAGGACCCCTGACTGGTCTTGTTACTCAGTCCACGATGCATCGCACTGGATATAACACGATATACCAGTATTCTTAGCCTTCTAAGCGCTACCAGGCCAATAGTAACCCGCGTCTGCTCCATCATGAGTCTTCCGACGGCTGTTAAGCCGGCCGATCGTAGCAAAGGCAGAAGCCCGTGTAGCACTAATGCGTACGTACTCACCCGCTCCCGATTCCCAGCTCCAAGGCCCTTGCCATCCAGGCCTTCTTCAGATCTTCCGAGAGGCGAGATGAGGTGAGTGCTGACATACAGAATTTTGATCCATGCCTGCGAATGACCCCCGAGCGGCCATGGCACACATTCCAGAGTCTCAAATATTAAACCTTATTCTAATGCATCTTCATATTATTTACTCTTGCCCTATTACTCCTCTTCTCCTCAAGAACTCGTATGATACCGATGGCGATCTCGCCACTCAGAGTTCTTTGAAATCCAAGAGACTGGTGCTTGGCTCCCTGTATAAATGTCCGAAAACAGCGACGCCGAAGTCTATAGGCCCGCGTACGCACTTTGGGCCCATAACACCCATCAACATCAATTTTCTCTATTCCCTAATCCCGAACACATTCTTAATGTATATCCGGCGGCGCAAATACGTTGCCACGTACATAAAGGCCCACATCTAGCATCGCATTTTGCCGCACTATTCTCCAGTACGTATAATTATATGCGAAAATGCGCATGTTTCTTCATAATACCCGCAGTCTAGGATCCTAATCGTATCCATCGAGACACTGATATCCCAGATCAGAGCAGTTTTATAACTGCGCTCGCAGTGCTCTTAAGCGCTGCATGTATGGACTGAGCGCTAGATACTTTGGAGAGTAACTGCGGCTCTAAATCCGTAGAGAGGGCACTTCTTGGATTCGTCTTCGGACCCCTATACCTTTGAACTTCCCTTCCCTGCCATTTAGCCTTTCCATTAATATCCGATACAGACAATTCTTCAATTCATTGAACTCTGGTGTCTTGGGGAGACCCGAAGTTACTTGTGGTGCAGATGATGATCTCAAGCATACAAGTTGAAACCCAATCCTTTCGTTCCCGGAATCCTATTGGTCGACCATCCGCTGACTGGTCTCATTCGATAACCTCTGCCTTCTGTGTCCAAAGGACCCCAACATTCAGGGTTCTTCCGCTTTGTCCCTGTTTCCCAGTGTAGCTTCCTTCCGCCTTGCGCCGCTCCGAGCATCAAGCCAAGCAATCAAAACAACGTATATTCCGGAGTCCGCGCTATGCAGTGTCTCCAGTTTCGGTGGGCCGCGAGTCTAGGAAAGTAATAACCCATGCGTTTCTCTGGTGTTTTTGGCCTAAAAGCTAACTACGGCAATGAGAAAATGGAAGCACAAGGGGATCAGCGAGCTTGCCGTATCAGCGTATCAATGCACAACCTCGGAGTAGTCGATTTTCCTGTGTATGTTCATTGCGGCATTGCTGCTAGTGGCGGTGGAAGACCGCGCGGGATGTGTACGCACTCCGCGTGTTTTCTCTGTCCCTCCTGTCCCTACTGCTTCGCGCGTTGGAAATCGACAGTGTAATCGATCGATGAGGTCCCATCAGTGTCCTTAACTATTCTCATGCCAGGGAGGAAATGGAACTGAGTGGACCCACAATGGAGCATTCTGAGGCTATTGACTTATTCTTTTTGGTCTAGACGTAACTCCAGCCCGATTAACACCAGCGTTGGAATTATTTATGAGGGCTGGAAAGTGGGTAATGAAGTACCTCGGCGGAACTAAGGTAAGCCTTCATCTCGCTCATTCATTACCCGTGCCTATAATAACCAAGGCCGAGAAGCAGCTGGATCCCGATAAAAGCGAGGGGGCTCGAACTGTGTGTACTCCAAACAAGTCCGTAACTGTCGAAGCACTTACCGTTGGTCCGTGCAGTGCACACTGCCAAGTCAGTAAGCAAAGGAAACTCAAAATCCAAATTCGATACTTTTGAGCGGTGACTATTTGTTCAAACGAAGAGGTTTTGGATAACCGTGAGTGTCTTGACCTGATTCAGGAATAGTCGAATGTGCCTTGTGACCTACAAAAATTCCGGACCTCAAAAGCAAAGATACGCGTCGCATGGAGAATGCGTGTCGACGCGTGAATTACTTCTCACGTGATCGTTCCCTTTCATTTCGGAGCTTGAATCTTCTTTGATATCTGATGGCGATCAGCGGTGCTACTTACTCAAGTCAACACTACAAATATTTGGACGCTGTTCCTGCTTTACCTGGTTCAGCAATGGAAATGTCAAACAGAACTCTGAATCCGACTGCAACAACGCGTGTTTCGATTCAGTGGGTACGCGTTGTATTCGCTCTTTATTAATTTTATGATGTCAATCTTACTGGATACACACATTTCTCCGAATCCGATCACTGAAATTCGTTCCTCAAAATGCATGGGCTTACGTTAACTATCACAGGACAATGAACCTCCGGAGGAGCGGACATCCACGCTGGTTCTCACCGCACCTTCCGGAATATTCGTCGATCTCCGGATCTTCGCAGATGATATTCCCTCCGTCTCTAATGCGCACGAATTACAGTCGTCTAGCGCAATTGACTGGGCTTTCGCTGGTTTGGCTTTTGCAAAATCCAATCCCTACGATGCGCCCCTGACGGATAATTCATGGATACACTGGCTCGACTCGCGCGAGGTCGACGCATTGAGTGTGCGCGACACAGGCGTGAGCTCAACTCTACCAAACGGGGATACACGCGAACGCGGCGAAATGAAAGACGCGTCCGGCGCTCTGAGGGTCTACGAAGAGGTATGGCGCGACGTACGCGTTGAACCAACATGTGTTACTACACCTACTACTACTGCTGTCTTTATCCGCTTTCGCGATGGTTCCGAAGCTGCGACACGAGGTGTCTGCGTGCGGGTGGAAGACATCAACCCAGTGGACGTGTGCGGCGTGCTTGTTCGCATGGGACGTTGGTGCCAGGGTGTCCTAAGGGACGTGCATGGGTTTACCGCCGAGCGCTGGGAGCTTCAGCTTACGGAGGGGACCTCTGAGACTGAATGCTGGAGACCTATCTTTCGATCTGGTCTAGGCTATATCCCGTGCATACAAGCTTGTACTTCTCCGCTTTCTTCCGGTCAGGAAGAAGCTTTGGACTTCTCCGCACCCGATGGGATATGGAAGCGTGTTGAACTCTATGAAACAGCTTCGAATTCGAACTCCAGGGACTAACGTAGAAGCCATTAATGTTTTGGAGAAGGTAAGGGGGGAGGGAGATGAGTCAGTGGTTAATTTTATTATGCTCCCTGACATGAACGCGGCTCTTCTTCTACATGCTCCGTCTTCTCGTGTTGAAGGAGTATTAAGGGGACTAGATGGAGCATGATCGTGGCATTGACTTCGTCAACACGCACTGTAGTTTATGCGCTATGATGATTTTCGCTTTGTTCCGATGTATCGTTAATGAATCGTCTTGGTCTCTCGTATCAGTAGGCGTTATAAAGCTTAGGTATTTACGGCGAAGTACGAACTCTAATGAAGTTACCTTAGCGAGATTACATTGGTATTGAACAACCTAACTATGGCCATCATAGAAAGTCCACCCTGTAAACGCGTTGGAGACTAAGTCAACCTTTCCTAAATTTCCCTAAAAATGAATCTTCAACGCGACTAGTCTGCTACGTAGTAACTGACATCAAATTTGCGCTTTATGACCCTCTTAATCGACTTCAGCGTGCATGTGGAGTCTTAAAATCAGAGGGAACCTCTTCTCATTAAGAAACGCTGAGTGTCGCGTCATTCTTGTAATTAGCCAAATGTCCACAGTTATGATACCGGGCCTTTGAAGCAAAACTCTCCACGTAACGATTTTATTCTGCAGACCACACATGAAAGTTACTCCTGGGTCCACTCCAGGTTCCTCTGTCGGAATTTCAAGTATTCAATAATCGTGTCGCGTTCGCTGGACGTGATGCACAAAAAAGTGTAACGAAAATAACATTCCCTCTTAGTGACACACAAATTCATTTTTCTGAGTCTGAAAAAGTCCGTCATTTGTCCAAGAAAGCAAGAGATCCAGAAATAAAAGTGTACAACAATCAGCAATAACCTAAGCGAGGTGCGTTTTAGACAGCAGAGGGTAATGGAAATCCAGGATTATTCGTAACAATCCCTCCTACTCCTCCTTCCAAGACTCCGTCAACTTGAAGCTCCAGAGTTGGCGAGACAGTGGCGTTTGGGAGCATGGCCCATAGTGCGACAGCAACCGTACTAAAAAGTTTAAATAATTAGAGAATCGACTGAGACATGAAGGTTGTTACGTACTTTTCTCCGCTATAGTCGAGAATACCCTGATGAACGATGAATTTCGTTTGTGGTCTTCATACAAAATCGTAAGCCATTATACAGGATATGAAGATCCAGATGAATAATGAGTTTACCCGAGATTAGCCACCCTCTTCCCCATCATCCATCCATTCACGAAGAGTATGGCGCGATACGGTTGATCCGTCGCACTTGATCCGCCATCGAAAACGAAGCTGATCGGAACGTCGGTTCCATCAGGGATATTCAGATTAAATGTCGTCACAAAGAATCCAACGCCCGCTGAGCCTCCTGGAAGTCCATCCGAAATATTCCTGCTTGCCCACGAGGACGTGTCGAATCCTGGTAAGTGCCATCCCTCTCGTTCACCGAAAAGACCACCATCGTTAAGTACACCTCTGACTTTGTCAGGGAAGCTGGTCAGAAATGTCAGCGGATCAAGAGTTATCGCGACGGGTAGACATGGACGCACTTTGTGTAACCGCCAACTTTCCCTTGTACTTTCCAAGTCGAGAAGTTTCCAGAGTTGAGTTGGAAGCCACGAATACCGCGGGGTGACTTTTCATTGTCTGTAGACGAACGTGTGAGAAATTAGGATTACGAAAGGGAGATAATTATTAACAAGTATTTACCTGACTCGTCCAAGCCCATGTTATCCTAAATGCAATATTTCAATATTTCACGAACGAATCTTATGGAATCCGAAGTATATCACATACCTGTACGACGGTAATGATATTATCTTGTCCTTGGAGGATAGAACCATCCGGGAATGTGAACACATCATTCGTCTCATCAATACTGTTCCGGTTATTAGTAGAACTATCCAAATAAGGATTAGCCGCATTTTTGTTAGATCAGTGGCTTTGAACGCACTTTCCGAATAAAGTTCCCAAGAAGACGTCGTTCAACCAGACACTTGCGGCGAAAGCTTGGTAATAATCAGTAGTTACCTACGGTGGGGATGAATCAAGATTACGGACCTTCGCCTCCGTTGACGGTTAAGTTTACCGATGACTCAGATCCAGTACCGTTAAAATGGCCTCTCCAGAGGACGATATTTTCACAGCTGCATAAAACAATGAGGACGGTTTTTACCCGGAAAGCGATAATGGCGTACAATTGATAATCACAGCCATACAGAACTCGACCATCCCCAAACAAAGGCTTATCTGGGATGTTTGTAGTCGTATGATTCGCAATCGTCCACGAATCATCGGAGAAGTTGGACTGAATTTCAGGAAGGCTGTCCGCAAACTTCCAGTTCGAAAGCTCCGGAACGGTAATCGCATTCGTCGTTACGTTCATCTGAAGTTGACCCGTGAAGATTCCAGATGAATTGCTCATGCTATTGAGAGGTTCGACTTCCTGTCCGTTCCAAGTCACTGAAGTGACTTCGGGTGGCGCGAATACGGTCAACATGACGCTCTCGTTCAGATCTCCTCTGATTTGTAGCTGAGACCCCGAAATGGTTGCGTTCCGTACGAGGTACGGTCCGCCGACGAGTACAGTCGAATTAGAACCGAATTGCCAATAATTACTAAAAGTCGCTTCATCGCCTTCAGCACTCTGGGACGGAATCACTGGTGCGAAGAACGTCCCAGCAGTATCCGTGTCTCCATAAAGAACCAATTGGGAGTCTGAGTCGGCGATGGTGATAAGGCCTGTGACGTTTCCGAGGATACCAATTGTAGTGACTCCAGATGGGCCGCCCAACGTCGTGATACGGCTGTCAGCCGTAACGTTCGATGATCCCTTCAAGTCAATTGCGAATTCGTGCTGCTGGTCTGAGTCGCCGAAGAGGAAGAGTACGTCGCGGTTTCCGATCTGGCCGGCGAAGAAGATTGACGCAGTCGAGTACAGGACTTTGGAGCTTCCAAAAGTATAGTCTGTGACTATAACCTTCGATTGTCTACCACTGAGGGTAATGGACGGAACAGTCCTCGGGATGGTCAATGTTCCGTTGGAAGTGGAGACTGTGAGGGAGAAGTTCGTGACATCCCTTCATACAAATATATCAAAACGTGTTCAGAGCCGAAGTGATGTTATGACTTACGTAGAGGTCGAGTCCGTCTGTCTCGCAATGTAGAAGTTTGATCCGGAGTCGGGATTCGACAATAGCACAGCGAAGGCGGCTGAATTTGACACATTCACTGCGCCGGTGCTACTATTTCCAACCCAGTTTGTCTTGTAGAAGTCTGGAGAGCTTCGAAGGAAGACCCCCTGACGTTTGAGCTCGGTGAATTTCGAAGTCAAGAGACGATTCTCCATTATGGAACTTCCATAATCATACGAAGCTGGTGGCGGTGAGTAAGGAATGCAATTTAATCGAAAAAAATCTACGACGTACTGTAGACGCCCGGGAATGGAATAGCGCCCCATGATGTTCCGCTAGAATGGTCGTCAGCAACCCGGTGCAAACATGCCAATAGAAGCGTACCCGAAGAGCATGTAGAAGCTGGTGAGTTTCGCATTAGCCGCCCAAAGCGTCTTGTAGAAGACATCCATAAAATCGGGTCCGGTCAATATACGACAGTTCGGATATCCTGGTGCATTTGGTCCCCAAGGATCGAATGCTCCTCCTTGGAACTTCAAAGGGCGTGAGTTCCAGAACTGTATTATGTTATAAAAATCGTATACCTCGGGGAAGTAGAAAGGCTGGCTAGGATTGGTATCTGGCGATATATTTGTATAGCGAAACTACGGTTTTCAAATTTCTTACATACCTTCGTGATAGTCGTGATAATTTGTGACAACCGGAGACCAATGCTCTGGATTCGAGCAATCGAACCCTTGAGGATAGCTGTCGAGCCTGCAAAGATTGAGATTGACGGATTAGACAGACTTTAGAGACAGATGATCTTGATTATATACCCGTATATGTCGACTGCGCCCTATAAAGATGTCAATAGCGGCAACTTCAAGTTCAAAAGAGTTGCGTACAGTTCCGTTTACAAAGTTCTTGCCTTCACCAGGGTCATTGTATGTGAGGGGAACGACGATTTCTGCTGCTCGGTATGTGTCCTCAAGTTCCTGGAAGTATTCAGCATGACCAAAGCCAGCCTGGGAGTATTCGTTATCTAAAAAGGAAATTCAGTCATATTCCGCAGATCCGTTCATAAGCACCAAAACACACCGATTTGGACAGCTGCATTGACAAAGCGTCAGAATAATATATCACACATAGAGAATTAACAGCGCTTCGAACCTATGACAGGTCCGCCTTCTGTAATCTGATTCGGTTTCGTGACGTTGATGATGCCAGCTATATAATCTTGCCATGCATCGTGGTAATCCGTCGCGTTCGTACGAATAGTGCCTGCAACCTGAGACGTCACCCAATGGGCAATACCTCCTGCTGTCGTCTCTGCATTGATATACGGCCCTACGTCGTGGTACCATTTCGCGTCAGTATCATCTTAAGAAAGTGTTCAACGAACGAAAGTCTACCTGGTCGAAGGACAATCCAGATCCCAGCAGCTTTGGCAGCATCGTAGAGCGGCTGTAGCGCACGGAACCCGTCGAAGTCGACAACTCCCGGTGAGGGATTAATTAAGCCCCCTGAAATACATCTGTTATTCATAAGTCAATTAACGATAATTGGAATATTTACAATGTGTGTACACGCTGATTCCGTTAAGACCAGCTGCCTTGACCTTCTGAAGTATGTCTGGCCACAGGGACGGAACCGGAAGTCTGAAAGTATGGAATTCACCAGAGCTAACGGAGTAAGTTGTTAAGCCAGTACAATAACATTGAATCTTAAAGTACTTACTAAAGGAATATTCGCTGGCCTTTAACGATCAAGCTGAATTCATCCCATTGAACTTGGTCGGTCAATCCATTTGAAAGGAACAACTTTTTCGGATTGACACTATTCCGCTGTAGTATGCTGCTAGCTGAACCAGTATAGGAAAGGAGGACGAGAGTAAATGCTAAGATGGCAGACGAAAGCCACCGGAGCAAAGACCGGGACCGCATTCTGCTATTTTGGCCACTTGCTAGAGCTGTACTTCACCAGCTTTAATATCAAGTGGGCATTTCATCAGATCAGAGAGGATGTACACACCTGCGTCAAAAGAGCCGCTGGAGAATATCTCCTCATTTTTCTCTTCTTTTATATACCCTACTGGGGCGGCATTCGCGATGACGGGCTGCATGGACTCCGCAGAGGATGCATACATCACTGCGTCTTGTGACTCCTCCACGAGGTCATCAACTTCCGAGAGAAGCGTGCAAGCGAAGATGAGAGCGGTTCTTGATCATTGCGGACCGCCTCGTGGGATAAAAGGTATGAATTCTGAATATTTCGCCTTCAGCTCCAACCCGAGGTACAGTCACGAGTTGGCAGAGTCATTAAATTAGCTTCCGCAATGCATGGCATTTTACATGAAGAGTATTTCGAATCTCAGAACCTGTGCGGCAGCAGCGATTTACTTTCTGTCGGAACGAGATTGTGTCATGGAAGGATGTTCAGCTCGTTATGACATAACAGTTTACTTCTAAAGGAATGATACGCACGTGATAAATTCCTGCCACAAAAGGATAATTGTCTCGACGAACTTTCCGACTCTGACTATTTTCTTGGACCTTTAACGCACCATGCCACGGCGTCGGACCTCCAGGCCTAAGTCGGCAGCAAGCAACTCTAGAAGAAAGAGCTCAATTCGAAGATGGGAGAATAGGGAAGACATTCCTCTTGATGAAATCGACGAATGTGCGTACCAGATGCATGTTTATTAGATCTTAATTTTCGAAGTTGATTGTCAAAAATTTCAGTTCATGAGCAACGTGATAAGATCCTCTTGGAAGGAGAGGAAGCGGCACCAGATAGTGATTACGATGATGATGAGGTATTTGCGTTGAAGGGACTCGCGGAGTCTTCGGATGAAGAGATGGACGAAGAGGACGAAGAAGATGAGGAGGACGAGGCAGAGGAAGTGTCGAAGCCGCAAAAGAAGGCTAAAGCAAAGCAAACTAAGAAGTCCGAAAAGAAATCTGGCAAGAAAGTCACGAGCTCGGATGAAGACAAATCTGAGGACGAGGAAGAGGAGGAAGAATCGTGGGGGACTAAAAAATCTGCATATTATTCCTCGAATGCTGCACAAATCGAATCAGATGATGAAGAAGCCCATGAGATGGAGGAGCAAGAAGCACGTCGAATACAAGCGAAACTTCGAGCATCTATGAGGGAAGAGGACTTTGGATATAGCGAAGCTTTGCAGAGCGCAGTGGACCTTCAGCCCATCGAGTATGCTACTCTAATTTTGCCCCTCTGCTGTTTCTTACTAATATTAATACCATATAAGTGATTTATGGAAACAAGACGAAAAGCCGCTGCCCACACCAGCTGGTACTGACAGAGCCTCGATTTTACGACACTTACAGAAAACCGATCCGGTATCGCTTGCGCTTGCTTTTGAATGGGAGGATATAGCGTGTTCGGTCATGAAGATAGAACAGCAGATTGCTGAGTACGTTTCAACATTTCGTGGCATAAAATTATTTTAATTTATTATGACAGAATTCCTGACAGCACCGAAAATAAAGCTCTTGGCCTGATTCACGTGCATCACCGTACGTTTTGTCCCCGTCGTCAACTATACGTAGAACTTACTGCCCTACTGTAGAGACGCTTTTAACATACGCAGCTTTACTTGCTTTCTACGTACACCTCCGCTCATCCGAAAAATACGCCGCACGACCAGACCTCCTAAGACAACACCCCATCCTCAAACGACTCCTCACGCTCAAGCAAAGTCTCATCACTTTCGAGGAACTCGGCTTCATCGCATCCGATTCGGAAGATGACCTTGACTCGGAGGAGATTGATGAACTTGATTTAGATTTGGATGACGACGAGGATCACGATGACGGTATGGGTATGGATCTGGATGGAAGAGCAATGCTCGATACGTGGGTGACGACTCGGAAACGTGGGCTTGACGTTGGCGAGTTGGAGCAATTGCTCTCAGAAGCGAATGCTTCTGCCAAGACAAAGAAACCTCTCAATCCGGATAATGAGACGAAGGTTACCGAGAGTCTACCACCGAAGAAGAAGCAAAAACGGTCAGACGGGAAGGCAGTCCCGACAAAGGTCACATTTGACGTCGAAGAACCGACTCTACCCTCTAAATCAAAGGCAAAGAAAACATCAACATCATTATCTTCTTTAGGTCTGGACGATCACGCTAGCTCTAGCTCAGCCAAATCATCCGGGTTTGACTTCGGTTTCGGCGAAGCAACCTCCCTCGACGAAGCCGACAAGCAAGACAAATCCACGCGTCGAAAAGCTCTCCGATTCCATACCTCCAAGATCGAAGCATCCTCTTTACGAAGACAGAATGCGCGTACTGCGCTGGGCGGAGATGATGACGTGCCGTATCGAGAACGCAAGAAGGCGAGGGAGGAGAAGGAGAAGGAGGCGGCTAGGAAGAGGCGGGCGAGCCTTGGTACTGGTGGGGATGATTTGGATTTGAATGATGGAGATCCTCCGCCTGAAGAGTACGGGAGGAAAGGAGAGGAAGAAAAAAGTGGAAGTGGCGATGATGCAGAAGAGGACGAAGAAGATGGATACTACTCCCTCGTCAAACGACAAAAGAGCGCAAAGAAAGCAGAGAAGAAAGCACAATACGAGGCAGCTAAAGAAACCACTCGGTATGTCTTCACTTTAATTTATTTCTTATTTCTAATTAACCCACCACTTCACACACCCTCCAAATAAACAGCATCAACTTCTCAGACGAAAACACCTCAACAAACCAACAACGCGCAATCACCCGCGCAATCTTAACCAACAAAGGCCTCACCCCTCACCGGCTCAACAAAAACAAAGCAGCACGCAACCCACGCGTAAAGAAACGTCAGAAATTCGAGAAGGCGAAGAAGAAGTTGGCGTCTCAAAAAGCTATATACAAGGGCGGCGTTGAAGGAGGAGGAGGGAGGGGAGGGAGGTATGATGGTGAGACGTCGGGGATTTCGAAGGTCGTTAAGAGTGTTAAGTTATGAGCGTTGTCCAGTCCTCCTAGGCCAGCTTCTTTTCGTTTTATATAATTAACTGGTTGGTTGAAGTGATTGGTTGTGTTGCGCAATATTAGGGTGCATATGTATCACTAATCCAACGTGCTTTCAATTGTAAGTACTGGTGTATCAACTGCTCCGAATCTTCGAAACCTCACTCAAGACAAGTGAATGTTCTGGTGGTTCCTTCTGACATCGAGAAACATGCAAAAAACAAAAATATAATCTCCTCATCATTACTACAATAAAATATTCAAACAAGTAGCAAAACCTTGAAGAACACAACATAGTTCTAACAGTAAGGCCAAAGGAGTACAGTACACTGTACAGGTGAGAGTCCGATGTCGAATCAAGCACAAACACAAAAGCGAGAGAGCAGAAGAATAGCCCACGGGCCGAGCTACTCGTATATAATTAATATGAGGAGTTAAAATAATGAGGCGACAACTAAGACGATCAACAATATCCAACAGCCCACAGAACACAAAGGACAAACAAACAAACAAACCAAACGAACAGAAACAGTAATCACTGAACAGTAAACTCGAGAAACAGAAATCAAGAAAATGATCACCCTCGGTACATTAAATGAGAATACGCAGCTCCTTGTGAGATATGAGAAAGGTCTTGGTCGGTGTTCATCATCTGGTCCATCGGCCAATCATCCATTCATTCGTTTCAACGGGAAGAAAGGAAAATAGAAAAATGCAAGTCGGTCAGCACAGGCACTTAACAATTCATGCGAAAGGGGACTGATTCACTGCTTGACCAGAAGGACCGTTCGTCCCATACGAAGGCGGGTCAACTACCATCGCCTGACCCTGATTATGCGCACCACCACTAGCACCACCAGGAGCGGCGGTTGCACCCGGGTGTTGATGTTGAGGAAGCACGACAGACGCCATATGGTTAACATCCGAGTCACCATTCAACGCATTCGAATAAATCCGCTCCATCTCGATAGCCTCGTCTCCCGCCTCTTCATACGCGTAGTTGTATTGTTTTAGACCGCCGATACAGTTTGTTACTTCTGGTCGACCGAGTCGGGCGAGGAGTGTACCGGCTGTTAGACAGCTGAAGTGCATGACTGCTGGGTCGAGTTTCTGTTGGGCGTTAGTTAGTGGATTGGTTATTGGTAAGCCTGTCAGTGGCTAGGTCTGTGGCACACTTACTAAGTAGCCGTTGGACGTCAAGACGCCTGTCTAAATTTGTTCAGTTGTAAGTCAGTCCTAGCCAACCAATTTTTCATAGTCAGGTAGATAAACTTTACCAGACCAGCGATGCGAAGGGCACCATGTAATGCTTCGTCGAGAATCTTGTGCTTCACGGATTCGATTGTGGGGTTTGCCGGTACGTTTCCCAAGGCATTCAACCGAACGGCCTCGTTGAACTCCTTGATCCCGAAATCATCAACAGCATTGAAGACAATGACCCACATGACATGATAGGTCGCATCACTCGCACCTACCCCGCCAAGCATAGAAGAGAGAAAAAGAGTTAGTAAATTCACGTTGGTTTGATTTATCGAACCAATCCTATAGGCCAAAGCATGAAACAAAAGTTCTCACAAGCAGACACGGCAGACACGAAATCCCACTCAGACTCAAAGTCACTCGGCACACCAACGCGTGGAAGGTGTTCTTCCCGCCAATCGTTGAGGCTGCTGACGATATTACACAGGACATCGAACGGGATTCCATCCGATTCCGTAGTAGGCCGCCATAATTGCTTCGACATGTGTCGGCATATCCGTGCGAGAGCATGTGCTGCGCGGTAATACCCCTGAGTAGCAAAGTTAATGAGGGAAAATTAAGGGCAGCCGGAATTCGCGCACCAGAAACTAGAGCAAGGGAAAAAAGAATCTCAGTAAACATTGCTTGTCCGTAAGTGTATCGCACACTTACTTCGTACTGCTCCCGAGGTGATAAGGATACACTTTGCACGTCGTGGACCTCCGGAGGTATGGGATCAACAGTGTAAAAGTCGATATCATAATCATCGTCGTCTCTGCGTAATTTCAATAAGTCAGCCCCGGAAATAGCTTGCGTTTGACACAATCTAGTATACGACACCACAACTCACAATTGTGGCTTACGGCGATAATAAGCCGAGTGGTACGCGTCCGCTAGACAGGCCATCCACCAAGCGAAGATCATTGTACCCCGAGACTCGGGATCTTGTATATTCGTCATGACAGATTTGTGATTGATCTGCATCCGAATGTCAGTTAATTATGAAGCCAGGAGGGCTATCGCCGCATACCTGGAGAAAAAGAAGATGTCGGATGGCACAGGTAAGCCAGAAGCCATGAAAGTCTGTGCAGTGTTAGCGCTATGTCAGTTCTATATGGGTAAACTGGAAGAAAGAGAGCTAACAATCGGGGTCTTCGGGCGTTTCTATTAAATGTAACAACGAATCAGACAAAAAATAAAGACGGAGGTGGAGCGAAAGTCGTACGGTTTTGTAGCGGTTCAATTAGCAGTGCAATGACAACATGGTCTACACTGCTAATTCGGTGCACTTTCTCCGCCTCCGCAACTTCTCGCGCTCGATTGACAAGTGTACGCGCTAGACGGCTTTGTCCACCAGCACCCTCACGATCTGCGATAAGCAAAGGATGCTCGGAGAACTTCGCGCCCCATGCTATTACCGTTGCGAGGAGAGCCGGGTGAAGTGGTTTCTCTGCCGGAGCGGGGGACTGTGGCGGAGCAAGTGCGAATTTGAGCCGTGAGCGGAACTGCGTTGGGTTGAGCAGCGGTAGTCGCGTGTGGCATATTTGGAAAAAGACTTCGACAAGGTCCAGGGCAAACCTTGCGAAAAATAAGATCGAGTCAGGACAAATTCGGGAAATAACCCCATAGGGCCCGAAAGGAACGCACTCTATGCGGAACGCCTCGGATTCCAGGCGTATGCTCATTTCGCCCCAGTCATGGTAGGTTGGCGAGCGGCCCCGAGCAGAGGCCGAGAAGGACGCGGGATCACTATAAATGAAATGCAATCAGTGTCAGTGCAAGTCAATCAGACATGTTTCGGATGCATTAACGTACGTCGGTCCCTCCGGCGAGAAGAGGTAGGCCAGCAACTGGGTGGTGGCGGCTTTGGGAGACCCTCGAGAATTTGGGAGCTGGTAGGGGAGGAAGAGTGAGTACTGGGTGCCATATGGCTTGTTTCCCTGTCCGTTCGAAAGAGAAGTCTCTGGTCCAGACGATCTATTTATAGACAGCGTCAGAAGTGCTGATGCAGCGGGCAACTGAGTGAATCCACTGACGACTTGGAACTCGAGGCTCCCGGCGAGCCACTGTTCGGCGATGTATGAGCGTTGATGCAGTGATTCGAAGAAGACCTTTACTCGCCTGGGATTCGCTGCGCTTGCCGCTCGGGCTCGTCGACTTGCGCCAGTGCCGCGCTTTTTCTCAGAAGTCTGTTGCTGCACATAGTGACTGCAAATCCGTATGTGTCATACCCTGTGGCATAGACAGAAATGGGGGGGGGGGGTCGACGTACGTGCAAGGGTAATTTTTGGCGATACAGTGCTGGGAGGGTGCAACGAAAGATATTGGTGGAGGCTATATGCGAAGCGACTTGTGCGAACTAACCTGGCACTGGAGCACATGGAGCTATTCAGCATAGTCCAGATGAAGAGTCTGAGCAGCACACCTTGTCCTGTCCCGGGAGCTGGGTGCATCTGACCTTGCGCGTCCTTGAAACACGACGAGCGAGTATAATATTAATATTTATTGCTGAGCAGAGCTGGTCTGGGGTGTGTCAAGCTGACCTGCAAGCGTCACACGCGACGTTCTGGCGCCGGGGTGGGGGAAGAGTCTTTGCGAGCTCGTGGATGTGGTTCTGCTGCATGGGCGTGGGGAGACCGATGTTGCCAGGACCTACAAGGGGAAATTATTGAATTAGAGTCACTCGCGATTTTGCCGTGAACGTCGGCGGCGCTGCGGCGAGCATTGGCCAGACGAGACAGCGGTCCCGAGCTCGCCGCGTAGACGACAGCTTACCTTGCTGCGCAGAGGAGGCGGGGCCAGAGTTGGTCGAGGACGAGTAGGTAGCGGAAGAGGAACGAGCCGAGTCCATGTTGTGCTGCTTCGGTTCCGGACACTCGTAACCCGCGGTAAGCCCCGCGTCACTCGACTCTCCTCTGAGATTTATACGGCCAGAGCCAGTGGGAATATTCATTATATTATGTAATCATTTTATTTTTATTTTAGTGGTGTGTTGTCATCGATTCAGACAAGACAGTCAAGCTACGCCAGCACCATGGTCAAGGTAGAAATCGTCGACGAAAAGGAGGAACAAACTTCGGTCTACGCTTCGACGTCGTCGTCGCGCACAGGCTCTTCAGAGTCCCTCGACTCCACAATCTCAGAGCCAGAGGCAGAGTCGTTCTACGACAGAATCGTCGCACTCGTCGACATTGTACCACCAACGACGCGCTACTCCATTCGCTCGCGCGTATCAAAGACCTGCTCCACTCTCAAAAAAGCAGGCAAAGTCGCGGGCAACGTCGTGTGGATCGTCACCACCTCCGCCCTCCTCGTCGGCCTCCCACTCGCGCTTAGCCTCGAAGACGAGGCAAAAATCGTCGCACAGGAGAAGGAAATGCTTGCTCAGCAGGCTGGTGCGCAGCAGGTGCGAGCACATGCGTCTTTCACTTCCTATCAATTCATAATCCCTATCTGATACATCCTCCCGCGCCTAGATGATGGCAGGCTACCCCGCTGTCCCGGGCACCAATCCCAACGAACAACAAAAGGGCGTCGTCCCACCCGGTTTCTAGTTTTACCATTTTACCACTACCTTAGCACCGCCGTAATTTACATCATGCATCATCACCCAGTCGCCCAGGCCTCCTGTCTTGGCTTGCTTTGCTCGCATCATCCATGCTGTCAACAGACCGCGACAACGCAATCGGAACCTTTCGCGCCGACGGCAGCACATCCCCCATTGGCCTATGTCTTCCCCACGCACTGTATCTTATGTAGCACACGAAATCCCAGCTCTGCACCCGAACGCCTTCTCGCTCTGCCCCTGGCGCTCGCACCGCTTAATACTAGAATTATGCTCATGCAGTGACCCAGTCGGACACTCCCACGCGTGTGCGCCCAATCCAAAAATTCTTAGTGATTGCTACTGCTGCGCAGTCGTGTGTCGATGTCGAACCATCGATCGAACCATCTAAGTGTAAGGAACGCAAGTGGTCCCACTCTTTCTCTCTGCCACTCTCTTCTCTCTTGTGTGTGGGTTCGCACAAGTGCAAATTAACTTTTTTCTCCCGTTGCCTTGGTCAATACCGAGTTGGGCTTCTGCGTCAGGGACGGTTCTCAGGATAGATCAGTATCCCCGTGTGAGATACGAAGCGTGAGTGTGGGTGAGTTCCTTTCATTATCTGGCTGCTGTGTTCTGGTTTCTGGTTTGTTATGCAATCGCGAACAAAGTATTTGGCTCGTCAGATCTTGGAGGACTTTTCCGACGGATGAATTTCAGGCCAGGCGATTTGCCGGGATGACTGTGAGCCATTTTCCCGCGCCTCAAAGTCAAAAACATATACTCCGCGCCCTCTTCCTCTTCACTACTTGCTCCGCCTATTCAAAGAGGTTCTCCTTGACTCGCTTGTGTGTTCCATCTCTTTCTCTCTTGGTCGTCTCTTTTATTCGCTTACTTGGAAGCTACTCCTCTTGAGTCTCGACAAATACTCCAACCGCTGAGACTGTGCTCGGCTTTCGTCATTATCGATAATTCTCTCGTAGCTTTCTCTCACTCCTGCTGCGGGAAGGAGTACCTTCTGGCACGACCCAAGACTATCAAGCCTATTAAGCACATGTAGCCAATCCTTGGGACCTCTTGGACCTCTTGAGAGCTCTTAAGACGGCCGGGACGCTTCTTAGAATTGTCTAGGCGCAGAGAAAGGATTAACCGTTCTGGGAACTCCGTCGTGCTTATTTTTTCACCAATGATATTGGGATGTTGCGCTATTTGTGCTGTTGGATTCTTTCTTGCAAATGCCGGATACTGGCACCGAGTTTCGTCTTGTGGCTCACTACTACTTGTTGGTTTGTTCAGCCGTTGATGGGCGGCAAGGTGTGCCACTACTGCGTCCGTTTGTGTATTGCTGTTGACGATGCAGATTTATTTCTTTAGCTTCTCTTGAGGGATTTCGGAGGTTAACTCCGTCGGCGTTGGTCGAGTGTATCAGGTAAGGTAAGGTAAGGTACGTTGTATCTTCGCGTATTTTCACGTATCTTCACGTAAGGTAACCTTTTCTTACACAGATAAAGGCACTTCAAAGCTTCTGTGTCTCCAACGAACCGTCTTGGATGTGTGTAATGGTACAATTCTCTCTCCTACCTATGTGCTCTACCGAGTCAACTGTGAGGCTATGCAACGCACTCTGACTCCGAAAGCTGAAGGACATACAGTTGATCCGCGATCCAAATCATCTCTTTAGTATTAAGTAGGTCCCTCAACATGAATGCATTGGGTCGAGGGAGCGGGATGTGTGTGTCTAGTCCCGATCGCTTGGGACCCATTGCACTGGTGTTCTGTGAGATGAGATGCATGAGATGGGATCGGACGACTCCGGTGTAGAAGGTTCCGTTCCGTCTTTCATCCTCCGTCTTCCGCGTACACCATGCGGTCCTGCCTATGTGTGGACGAGTTCGCCCACGTTGAGTTATTCTACCCCATAGGCGTTTGCCGGAAACGCGAAGACATTTGGCTGACTCGTAATCGTGTGGTCCACCCACGTATCACTCTCCCTTGCCTTGACACCAAGTATCCGATGCCAGTCGTTCGGGACTGCTAATTACCGAGACTGTTCACATTTACTACTACTAACAAATTTTCTTTCTTTCTTTGAGGGTATTTCGGAGATTAGCTCCGTTAGGGTTTATCGAGTGTGCCAGGTACGTTGTACACCCCTCTCATGTATGACATTATGTGCCTGCATAGATAAGCACACTCTGAAACTATAGTACTGGCTATATCTCCACCATTGCACAACTTCCTGTCTTGCAAGCATAGAAAGGTCCAACTTCCTCCCTGGTCCTCTCGAGCCTAGTATCTGGGCATTCTGAAAGCGTAGGACACACGGTTGATCCGCGAGCCTCCCTTCAATAAATCCGCCAAGACGTCTCGCTCCCTTACCTGGACGAGTACTTCCAATCGCTCGGGACCCGTCGCATTGGTGTGTAATTGGAGATGGGATCGGACGATGCTGGCGTTGAGTATTCTGTGTCACTCTTCATGCCATCCTTCCTACCTATAGCAGCCTACCAATGAAGCATGTTCCCTTGCCTCGCCTCACCTCAACACGATGTGCACGGCAAGCCCGGCTGCTATATTAGTTCATACGTCGATGAGATAGTATCGGGCGATGTCGGCACAGGAGATACCGCTGCCTCCTCCTGAAAGCAAAAGCCAAACAGATAAATAGATCAGTCTTTGGGAAGGTGTAGCTAGATAAATATAGGAGGCTCGAAGTACCTTTTCCCTCTCATCTGTACATGCTCTTTCGAAGGTAAGTGATCTCGGCCAAGGTTAGGTTACGCCTAACGATGGCTCTTCGTCGTTTTCTCGGTCTGCTTCGATCGTCCAGGCAAGGTATTCCCTATTCACAATGTTCAAGAGAACGATTAGTAAGTTTACTTCTTTCCTTTGACAATATCAAGAAACTAGTGAGAGAGTCGGACTCACCCGACACGCTCGAGATCAGACTCGAAGAAGGGATCTGAGACGTTTGCAGCTTTGTTATGTGCGTTCTCGATTTGAAGAGCTTGTACTGCTGCCTTGAAACGGAAGGACCGGACTTTATCAGCATCGCATATCCTTTTCTTCGTTGTGAAATTAAGAACTTACGGTTGCAAACAAGACTCGGTTCTTGAGCAAACCAACTGTCAACGCCCGGCCGGTAGCAGTATCTTCTCCTGCTTTGTCAATAGCAGGGATGAATAACTCAATTTCTGCATCTTCCGTTGCTTCCTTTGCGAGCCGGAGTTTGTCATATATCTCGAATGGAACGAGTGAGAGGTCTGTGTTTTTAAATGGATCTTTATGAAGAGTGTTAGATTTGAATTTGGCAAGCTGGGACGGGAAATACGAACCTATGAAGACCTCTGCAGCTTCCTCTTCAGCCGATCCACCGTATCCATCCGAAATCTATGGCATACGTGAGTGAATTGAATAGACTGGTAACGCTTCGGGCATCCAGTTGCATGGCGAGAACAGTACCTGATACTCTGCGTAACTGGATTAAAATTAGTTTTCAATTCGTATTCAGCGGAAGTTGATGAGGAAGGCTAACTCACTCTTGCATGAATGGTAGGTCTGCTGTATCCATTGAAGACACGAATGCACGGTCTTTGTAGGGCCGTGAGTCCGGGAACGGATACGAATATACCAGACTAGCCAGCAAAGATAAGACGAAAAAGTTCAGGAAAATACTAAAGCGCATAGCGGAGTTTTCAAGATTGACAACGTGGCCAGCACATGAAGAAACGAATTCTCGAGCTGTCCTGGAGAAACGAACGGACGAATCCTCTCAATAAATAAAGAGAATGGAGGGCGGAGAAATGTATGTAGAGACCGAGTCCGAAGGAAGGATGGTGGGTGATGGCTCAAAAGCAGGGATCAACTGTCTCCGCAGTCAGATTATTATATTACACTCACAGGACAATGAATGAGAAATGACAGTGAAGAAAGGAGGGTTCTTACTAAAAATAGGTATTACTTACATACTGATCAGACGCGACCTACACGAAATGAGACAATCAATCATCATCATCAGACGGACGCTACCACGACGAACAAAACGAAGCCACTAGCGACGAGGTCGCTCCACAACAACGTTTTTTGAAATCTGTTCGATTCGTTTCTCTTTCTCACACCGTATCATATTTAACGAGGTGAGATCGGAATTATGATCGAGAGAAGTTACATTAGACAACATGGCGATACAGACACCGATTGGTTTTATTGTCCAGGTCTGTACCATACTATTTGTTTTGTTTTATATTGTTCTTTGAGGGCTTTCTTATGCAATGACTCGGTGAAGACGAACGTCCTTGATGGGCGAGACAAGACGCGTCGCGTTGAAGACAAGGCATGAGAACGTTTAGGAACGAACTGCCATCCTCCGACAGCAAAAAGAAACAGAGAAGATTTCAACGTTATTTTTACAAGTAAAGCGAAATCAAGGCAACATCTATTCTTAGCCTTCGGTCGAAATAGCAGAGTAGATAAAGAATTAAACGTGCTTTAAATATGGTCCGAGCGTTGTAAGGGGCAACGACACCCAACCCGGACCCGCGGTAGACCGGGGGCTATTCCATCAATTGACAGAGCCGTGCTGCGGAGAACGGATGAAGCATCTGTGTTACTACACGACGGGGGACTCGGAGATCAACGTAGGGATGGTGCTGACAACGGTCGCATCTGCGTTGATACAGCGAGGCCCTTTTCCCCGTTATAAAATTAGCGTTTGTTAACTTTGTTACAAGGATTTAGGGACGAGAAAACGTCAATGCCTAATTATAGTACTAGGTGCAATTCAGACGACATCTACTGTCTGCTGCAGTCCTTTCCAGAGGACACAAATTCACTTGTATCGTCCCTTGTTGATTCAATCGCGCCTTTGAAATCGCTGACTGTGCTGCTCTCCGTCAACGCTGCGAGTGAAGCTGCAACGCACCACAGATTCTTTCGAGAAGATCATGCGGACTTCGCTCTTAAAGACTCATGCAACAAGGACGTTTGACCTAAAATTAATCTTGATGATTAAGATAGCAAACTAAAGACGCAAAAGTGGTAATAGTGAATTAATAAAGTATTTGGCACCATGTGGCGCCAATATTGCATATGAATCTAAAGCAGACTGATTACTCAGATTTATAAAGCATGTAGACTACGTTTGCAAACTATCTCTATTTACAAAGGGACAATATTGAGAATCACCCCTCAAGCAGCAGCAAGTTTCTTAAGAACAAACAACAATGTCTAAACACAATAGTACTGAGCTTAACACTGATCATAAAAGTAGCAAGACATCTACTCACCATCAGCAACATGACTCTAACACGAGCCAACCTTCGAGCAGTGGAATGACAAAGAGTGGAAGCACACCAAAGGAGTCAGGAGTGTCTTGGTACAATGAACAAGAGGCAGAGGAATATGTAGCAAAAGCAGACAAAATGATAGAGGATGCTGAATGCTTTGAAGAGGATTGGACTTATGTATACAATGCTTGTTCTAAAAGTCTTTCACAGGGGAGGATAGGCAAAGGAATAGTTAATTCTATTCATGACCAGCAAACAAGATGGATGGCTGTTGGTATGGCTCTGAAGAACATAAAGGATGTGATCAAACAGTATGATTCTCAAAAGGACTATGAAAATGCTTGCTCAGTGCTAAGTTCTATTGAACATAAAATCAAAGCAAGGGATCTTTCAAACAATCAAGATTATAAAGCCTACTTACACAAAAAAAATTCTCCCTAATAAGCATTTAGGTGTACTTGTGATAAGTAGCATAGCAGACCTGTTATGTGAAAACAATATAGACTACTTGTTTTGATAATACTGTGAACCTGTCAGACAACAGTGTCTATAAATCTTACTTGTGGTAAATACTTTACCTGCATTATAGGTACTTATATGCCTGTTGTGGAATATAGACTAAGTGTGTTAAGTGAAATGATAAAGATTGTTTGTTGTGTAGGACAGTCATCTTGTGTGCTTGCTTGTAGTCTCTTAGCTTCTTACACAACTCTTACACATTAGCACCTTTTACACATTCTGTCTCAAGATATTAGCCTTTCTTCCTGCCCTACTATAATACAGGTTATTAGTATTAACTAGTAAGCAAATGATGACCTCCATTCACAATAGTCTGTATGCCTGCTAGGGTTCCTGACTTCCCATTCTCTATAATAATGTCTTAACACCCCTTACTATCTCCCTCCCAATTGTCTTACATTTGTTATTGTAAGCATTTTGAGGTTGCAATGTTTCCCTAAGAGTAAGTCACACAAGTAGGGGTTCAGTAGACTCTGCTCATAGTGTGTAGGTGTTAATACAAGTCAACTGTATAGTTTGTAATGAGCTTTATTGTCCTTAGATTAATGTATTATATATACTATCCTATATTGTATGTCTCAGATGTATGTCTTGGTTGATGTCTCAGTGTAATTCAGATACACAATACAAGACATGTATTGGATACACAATAAGTATCAGATATGAGATAATAATACATTAGATATCTAAGACATACAGACAGACAAATAATATAAAAACAAACAACTTATTAACTAAATAAATATTATTATCAGGGTCTACACCCTCATTACTTGTGTGATAACCTAAGAATACACATTCTAACATTAATATTAGCAGGCACACTTCAAAATACCCTTTCATGGATATCCTCATGCCTTCACTGTTCCTGAACACAAGATGGGTGGAGGGTACAATTATATGGTAAGTAAAACCAGATATTAGAATGGTAAACACAGGACAGACTACAACGATGAAATGCAGTGAAGCTTCTGGATTAATTTATAATTTAAATTAAATTAAAATCCTCTTAGTTCGTCGATATCATGTGCAAAAAGGTCGGCCCCCAATCAGCTGATACTACGCTTTACCTTGTTGAGAAATACTCCCGTCAATTCCTTCAAGCAGCACAAAGACTTTTTACACAGCCCCAGCGTGCATCCTAAACATCGGAAAACATTCTCTACCGATGGTTGTACACACCAATACAATTCAAGAAAATGCATGAAAGGCAGAAAGCCCTTCTGTTGCACGTTTATTGCCAAGGTCTGGAGTGCGCGGGAAGATGCGGAAGGCTCGGCGAGATTTTGTTTCCCCCAACTCGCCCACGGTCACGCCATCTAGAGAAAAATTAAAACGAAAAACGACACGGAGGCGAAAAAAAAGAGCACGTTGAAAGAGCGAGAATAGGCGCGGTTTGACAGGTTGTGCGTTTGCTTCAATCCTTCGAACTTCCATTCATCCTAGCCCCACCCATCTGATCGACCCCTCTCTTCATCCATCCCTTTTATCACCCTCCACCTCTGCCACCCTTAATCCCTCTCAACGCATCGGACGGGCAGCGGACGAACGAGTACGATCATGAAGACGAAAACCGAAAATGGTGTCACTACCGTTGTCGACCAGCAGGCCGTCATCATCCCCGACCTGTCTGTAAAGGACTTGCTGTCCGCTATTCCGTCAGTGTCTACCTAGTCTATGGCTGGGGCATTATTCTAATTTGAATTCGCATCGAAACAGCCCCCACTGCTTTAAGCGTTCAGTGTTCAGGTCGTCTCTCTACATGTACGTGTCCCACCCCCACCCCCAACGCGCTTTCACGCGCCATTGATGCAAAGCTTACATGTATTCTTAGCGTGATGGACATGGCCCTTATCGCCTGCACGTACAAGGCAACGACGTTCCTCGAAACGCGCATCTCGCCCGAGTTTATCCAGCTGCCACACGAGGCACTGTATGGTTTCGCGCGGTTCTCAATATGGGCACTGTACACGTTCTTCACTGGACTGTGGGCGACGGGCCTCTGGGTGATTGCACACGAATGCGGGCACCAGGCGTTTTCGGAAAGCAAACTGATCAACAACAGTGTCGGATGGGTTCTGCACTCTGCGTATGTAATCTCCCGTTCTCTGCTGTCCGCTTTCCGCCCGAGGAAAGTTGTCTGCATCTCGGTGTTCTATGGGTGCCGGGATCAGCGCTTCCGTGCTTCTATTCGGGGCCACCCCACTAATATTGATCGAATTTTGGCTAATTTTGGCACTTCTTTGGCTCCAGACTCGGTGTGCCATACCACTCCTGGCGCATTACGCACGGGAAGCACCATGCCTCGACAGGTCACATGACACAGGACCAGGTCTTTGTCCCAAAGACACGCGCTCAGCTCGGTCTGCCTGCGTTCGACCCGGCAAAGGAGGACCTGTACGGTTCGAGTGTGACGGATGAGGTCAAGCGTGAACTCATGGAGGCACTCGGAGACTCGCCCATCGGTGCGACGTCGAACGCAATCGTGCAGCTGGTGAGCATTTAGCATGCGTACTCCTGTCAGTGGAGCCTAACCAAATTGACACATGTACAGCTCTTCGGATGGCCAATGTACATCTCGACAAACGCATCTGGGCAGAAGCGGTACCCGAAGGGCACAAACCGTGAGCTTATTTCTTCATCGAGCCATTGTCGATATTCATCTAATGGCCTGCTCAGACTTCGTCCCGAAGGCGCCACTCTTCAAACCACATGAGTTCTACCAGATCATCATTTCTGACATTGGTATCCTCATTTGGGCGAGTGTCCTTATCTGGTGGTCAGTTTCACGTGGTTTCAACGAAATGTTCCGCCTTTACTTTGTGCCGTACCTCTGGGTAAACCACTGGCTGGTCCTCATCACCTTCCTGCAACACACAGACCCGGTCCTGCCCCACTACCGCGCACCGGAGTTCACCTTCCCACGCGGAGCTCTTGCGACGCTCGATCGCAATTTGCTCGGTGATCTCGGCCCTCTCGGTGCATGGCTCGGTGCAGTTGCGACGCATGGTATCTCAGAGACGCACGTTGCACATCACGTATCGAGCAAGATCCCGCACTACCATGCTTGGGAGGCGACATACGCGCTTCGTGAGCGACTCGCGCGGGCGGGTATCAAGCTACAAGGTCGTCCCGGCGGATGGTCCGAGGTCTACCGCGTGTACAGGCAGTGCAAGGTCAGTTTATACGCATGATAATTCAGTGGACTTCGCTAAATTGTTTTCTCTCCGTAGTTTGTTGAAGACGAAGGTAACATTATCTTCTATAAGAATGCGCAAGGCCTTGCTGCTTCACGTCCTGTGCTGCCAGAGGGTGGCACAGTCAGCGACTCCGGTGTCGAGATTGACTCGCCCGCAAAAGACAAGGATGAGTAAATTGGCTTACTTCGACCAAACTTTTTCTTGTTTTGCATCCTATTACTCGGATCGTCACTCGTTATTCTTGGAACAGCCCCAGCAGGTGGTTCTGGTTATATGCGCCTTCACACGGCACCTAGACTCGTAATTACTTTGGCTGTAGCTTTGGATTTGATAGACATAGTCACATAGACCTAAAACGTAATGCACATGAACTATCCTTGAAATCATTGTTGGTGCCTGTATGGATATTCTAAGTAGCCAGACTAGAAGTGGAGTGACGCAATTGACTTGAGGTATAGGTGATATATACCAAATAGCTTTTGCCCCACATAATAATAATCACAAGCCCCAAGAATGGGATATAGCGGACGCTATCAACTTGCTGCACGTCACAAGTCGCCTCTAGCATCCACTTTGCTCACTAGCTGTCAATATGCACTTTTCCCCGCCCAAGTCAAGTCACGAGCATGACACCAAACCGGATACCAACGGCATCGCAGAAGAGAGGGAAGCGGAAGAAAGAGAGGAAGAAGTGTCTGAATGGCGAGAGGGTCCGGACGTCGTCATCGAACGCCAGCCATGTAAACCAGGTGAAGACGTACAAGTCGAGGTGCTACCTGGTGCGAATCGTACGCCCAGGTCCTCTCCAGCAAAATCGGATTCACATCCGGGTCACGAAAGCATCCTGAGCAAAGAGGAGGAAGAACTGAAGAAGGTGAAGGAGAGATGTAAGACGATGGGGAGGGAGATGGAGAGGGGTGTTGAGAGAGTCGTGGGGAGCCCTGGACACGCAGGTCGCGCTAGCACGAATGGAGGTGGTCATACGCATGTGGGGTAATTAGGGTAGACAGGACGGACAGGACAATGCCATGAGGCGGAATGCGTAAAAGGGGCTTACATGTGAGCACAGAACCATTTCGTCATGAGAAATCGATTGGTGAGAGGAGCTGACTACAACTTGAAGATTTGTCCTTCCGTAGGATGGTCACTTTCGAGCAATATTGTAACATTACATACAAACAAACTTATTTTCTCAAATAATCCATAAAGTCATTACTTGACCTACCAATTCGAGTACAGTAGTAGTGCAGCTACAGCGTCCAAACTCTATACCTCTCTAGTTCTGGGAGTTTACCCTTTTTGTCTATGTCGGATTCAAGTGAATCCAGAGTCCCGCAAGCCTTTTTGAATGTGTCTCCATTGTAGTCTGTGGTACTAGTAATCAAGTCCTTTATTCTTTGCAGAGCATTCTTTAAGGATTCCCATCCGTTTATTTGTTTAACAATTGTTCCCACAATGTTATTGGCATCAGTTCTCGGAAGATTCGTGTTTGTCCTCAACCCTTCGGATACACTCGTCCAAGCACTGATATACTTTGAAACCCTTCCTATCAACTTATTCGCCTTCTCTAGATGATCTCCTCTGGTAGCTGTATACTTTGCTTTGTACAGCTCGGAGACATCTGGACCTTCGGACGTTTTGTCGCTATTTTGCCTGGAATGCTGATGCTTGGTCTTATCAGTTTTATCATGAGCATAAGTAGACATTGTATCTAGTAATCGTTGCAGATACAAATTTTGACGCCTATGCCCTATAATTATTTAAGCTATCGTATCTTATACAGATAGATAGATTGCAGTTATCCATGGAAACCGTCAACTGCAATGATGTGCAACACATTGCTCAGTACTGTGGATGTTTTCAGGATCGGGAAATGATCTCAGTTACTATGACTGCTTTGCAAGACAAGGTAGGATCGCTTACTCAACAGACAGGCTATGTGGTCACCAATAGTGGAATGCAGTGCTTTTGTGTCTTGCCTGGCTGTAACACTGTCTTTTACAGTAACACGCAAGACCTTACTGTTGTCCAGATACTACGGTCTTGAATCAAATTTCCTGCGATTAGCATTGCTTATTAATTCTGGACTACCTTCAGGAGCTGGGTATATGCACTCTTGATGGACCCAGACTTGTACTTGCCTATTGTTGCCCTAAATTTGATAGACATGGACCAAACATATTCAATGATATTGCATATGAAGTATCCTCTCACCTTAAGATCATTCCTGGTACCTGGGCGAATATAGTACGAGCGTTAGGAATAGACACGTCTTCGCCATGCATACCAGGCGACGATGTTTAAGTCGAGGTTCCAGACAGTGCGGGCCGCATAGTCGACTCCTCCGGAAAAATCGTCACAAAAACATACTGAGGAAAGAGGAGAAAGGAAAGACGATGAAGAGTGGCGTTGAGAGCAGACTCTCTTGAGAGAGTCGTGGGAAATAGAGTACGAGTGGAAACTGGCCAGTTTGCCACACTGAGGTTATCCACGTGGGTTACTCACGAGGATAACCACGAGGGGAACTGAAACAGGGAAAAATACTATGTGGTGAACTGTATTAAGTAGCATATTAGTCGTTCAAAAAAAACAGAAAAATGAGGGAATAAAGTACATAATTATGTTTGTACAAGTCCTCTCCCCTAGAGAGATTGAAATAAATCATCAACCGTTTGTTAGCCCTACCTATTGAGGAAATTTACTATTTTGGGCATATTGCATAATATAGTTAGCTAATTCCCAACATGTTGACAATGTTGGAAACTACCCTGCTAGTTTTCTACATGTGGTTATCCACGTGTGGGAAACCCTCAAAACAGTTTCCACTCGTACACTAGTGGGAAACCCCGAGCACGGAATGCATAAAGGGTGAAGGGGCTTACATACAGTCAAAAACCGCTCCTTTAAACACAACCGTTCCTTTAAACAGACTGTAATATCTTACTCAAATCTTAATATTATTTTATGAAAATTTAATACAAGGTATTACTATATGACCCTAATGTATATATAAGATTTGAGAGAAATTGAGCAAGAAATAAAATTAAGAAAAATCAGACAGTTAAAGAATTTAGTAAAATTGTCCTGTAGTAAACTTTGCAAGTTTTCTGGTGATATTTCTATTAATCCAATCAAGTTGAAACTTTGCATATATGATTATTAGTATCCAAAATATACAATTATGCAGTTTTTATTTTAATACACTGAGTTGTACAATTTATTAAAAGTAAACATTAAGAAAAGTCAAGAAAGCGTGACAGAAAGAGAAATGATCGACACAATGATGTAATTTGCCAAACCTTTGTATGAGAATCGTGTCAGAGCATTTGCCATACCCTTGCTAATAAATTAGTGTTTTTTTACTCTTTTTTTCTGCTTGCTCACTCTCTATTCTGCTTAGTACACTATGGTCAAGCATGCTAAGTTTAAATCTCTAAAAAAAGGGAGGAATTGGAGGAAAGGGAGAGGAATATGAGTCAAGCACATGAGGAAAAAGCTACAGTGCTTATAATGTATTATAGACTCTGTAAAGTATAATGTAAGTATTGTATATATATTGTAATAAAATTATAAAGATCTTGCAGTTATTTGCAATGTATATACAATACTTATATTACTTTTACAAAGTCCACAATGTATTACTATGAATCTGACTTTTCCCAATACAGT